ATTCCAAAATGACTAAATGCGAAATATTAGAAAATATTTCAACCCGTGTTTCTATTCACGAGTGGAAACTCACACGTGAATTTTTACAAATAAAATATACAATTTCCCCCGCACCGAATTACCGGCGACGCCAACGTAGTAAAATTAGGGGATTTTACTAATAAAAGTCGCCTACCTTATTATAAGGTGACGACGGAAGCACACGGGTCTACATGTTGAGTAAACACGGGTACATGCAACAAACACAAGAATAACAGGTAACGTGGTGAAAGGTATGACTGGCAGGACTCGACTGATGTGGGAAGCGTGCCGGCACGGGTGGGTAGCTATGAGGTCAGGGAATATATTAATATATGCAATTTCACTACAGTATTGTATTTAGATGTACCATACGATAAATAGATACATACGATCAACAATAGATATAAATTGATATCGTTGTCATTCTTACTCTTGATGTATATAAAGTCCACAACAATAAAATATTTCATTTGCATTTTCTTAGGAATTGTTCATAGACTATCAACATATTGTTTACATGTCTATGTTACGTTTGTCCCAGAAATCCCGCAAGATTTGTACATTTTCCGACTTTTTCACGAAAGAGCGCACTAAGAAGTATAACTCTTCCATAGTAGAAATAGAACGCATTCAGAAAGTATAGAAGGTTCATTTGCTCATCTCCTATACATTTATTAGATGCTTTTTGCTTTAAGAAGGGGGGAAAGCTTTATAAATAATGTCAATTAAAATATTTACAAAAATTGATTTGTTATTACGTCTTAATGCGCATTTTAAATTAAAGACGGCGAAATGGTTATTTTCTACCGTTAAAGGGAAGATACATGTAGGTGTTTGAAGCTTTTTTTTACGGAATGAAAAAAAAAGACTACTGTACTACTATGAAATAAGCCTTCGGCTTTGAGAAAAAAAAGATAAGAAAACTTGGAGGATTTTAAGTTTGCTAAGTTTTGGCGTACTCTCTCGTGTAATAAATTTAATATGATCTCGAAGATAACGAACAGTAAACAAGCTCAAATGTCCATTGGAACAATAAATTTGGAGCAAAACAAACACGGATCTCTAAAAACATCAGAGGTGGGATTATGTGCCTTGGAGGAGTAAGCATCCATGATGACCGGTCACACTCGCCGTGTGCTCCTTCTCATTTCATTGTGAAAATTTGTATGAAAAAAATGTCGGTGAATATTCCAATTAACGATGGATTGTATTAATTTTGCTTAGAAGGTCATTGTATCGACCATAGAATTTGACTTAAAAGAATACTGTTGATATCCTTGTATCATCAACTTATTTTTCAATATCTTGTCTCGATTAAGAAATTGTTGATGATTACGTAGAACATGCTCTTTCATATGGAATCAACTGGGAGACATAAACCTCATACTAAGGTGATAATGGTACATGTATATGGCTATATATTATAATGGAAGTTGACAATAGAAAAGTTGAAGTCATCATGTTTATCATAATGTTTTGTTGTTAGTTTGCCATTAATGTCTTTCTTTGATAAAATTTCCAAATATGAATCAGATATATCAGTCTCCGTTCTGTCTTTTATTTCAAATGGATATATCGAATCAACGTTGGAATGAAAATAAATATTGTTAATTGATAAAACGTCGTCAATATATATAAATGTTGAATTGAAGGCCACAGCAATAGACTTCTTCTTTTCATGTAGAAGTTTTTGAATGAATTCTACTTCATAGGAATGCAAAAAATAGGTGTTCTCATGGGGCGCAAATAGTATCCATGGAAATTCCGAAAGATTGTTGGAAGACCTGCTCTACAAAAACTACATCGATATTGTCAATCAGAAACTCGAGCATTTTTTTTTTTTTTTTTTTTTTTTTTTACAAAATCAACTTCGGAGTATTTGGTTGTACAATCAGAATGTTTCTAAACAAAATAATTTTGCAGAAGACCATTAACAAGGTTTATAAATTTACGAGTTCCATTTTTATTGAAAAAGCAGTTGTTCATGATGTCAAAAAGTCTTGGACTTCAATTTAACGTGGGGCGCTGCAATCTCCTACGGGAGGAAATAAAGATAGAATGAATGAATGAAGTTATTCCTTCACTGTTGTTAATATTCTGGTGAAGAGTAAAGAAAGAGGCTTGGTAGAGCATTTACTAGGACCCTCTATGTATCTTTGTTTGCAAGGATTAAGTTTTGAAATCCAGTATAGATATGGTAATTCAAATTCAATTTGATTGTTGTGAGTACTAAAATATTTAAACTAACACATGATTTTTAGATTTTCTTTACGCTACGAGTTTAAGTTGGGTTACCACTTGCAGAAATAAATCCAAGTTCCATTAAAATACAGTTCCTAATCACAGGCGCTTGGGTCCAGGATAATGTATATTTCTATATATAAATGTATTGTCGAGGAAATTCGAACTAAATTCGTAACATTTTTTTAAAGCGCACAGCGATTATTTTTAGTTTTTTTGTAAATCTTTCTGCTTGATATACACTAAACTGCCACAGAAAATGGATATTATGCACGTTTTAAGAATGAAAAATCCCAACTGTATACTAAAAAGAAAGTTTCTTTTCCCAGGTTGTATTCTAGTATCGAAGAATCCAAATCAGGCCCGTAGGAAGCAATTTCAGTTTGGGGGGGCACAGCCAAACATTTTTCAGTTGACAGTTGAGGGGGCACTACCAAAAATTTTCTGACAAGCAAAAAAAAAAAAAAAAAAAAAAAAAAAAAGGTCATCAGGCGGTTTTATTGAGGGGGCACATGCTTATAGTATCTATGTTTACTATAGTAATCTATATATCGGCAAAATTATTGGGGGGGGGCACGGCCCCTCCGTGCCCCCCGGTTCCTACGGCCATGCAAATATGGACTATCCTTGGCCTTTTCAAATAGATCATTTAAAACTTTCAAAGGGACAGAGTAAAGTTTAGTGCAGATGTGATGAAGATCTAATTGTCTAAGAGATACATGTAGTAATGAATCAAAGGAAACATTTCCTATTATATAGGTTTATTGCAAGACCGATGTCCATGGCTAGGCTAACGTCTCTGTGTATTGTTAAAAATCCAGCTTCACTGTGGACTTGAAAGGTTCTCAACACTGTCGACATTGTCACTGCAACCATATGGAGAAGCGGTGCCTAGTTTCCAGTCCAGTAGTCTTTGTACTCAATGATGTTCTTTTAGTATGATGGTAAATCTTTTCTAGAATTCTAACTTTCGTTGACAAAATAGAATGACCAGGTAAATTAAGAGCTATTCTCTGTAACCACTAAAATAAAACTTTTTTTGCCCCGCATGGTCACCACATATATCAAATAAAATTTGGTTGCTAAGTGTCTTGATTGCCATGGTAACAGCCGGATAAGCTTTTAAAAATGAGATTTTCAGCTAATCTATATTGAACCTTAATAAAGACTTCGAAAAACGAACAAACAATTCTCACAAAAACATGACACCTTGTTAACACTTATGCTACAAAGAAACTGTTTACAATACTCAAAGTAGGTGGTAACCATGGGTACATCTAGATTACATTTTACATGGTACAGGTGTTTTCATAACTGAAAGTCAGGGTTAGTTGTTCATAAATATCAACAATAAAAAAAATTGGAATCGACATATAAGGGCACGTATCAAAGGAAACAAAATATTTTTCAGCTTTTTATCATATTTTTTCAGATATGATTTCCATAGCAACGCTCTATTCAAAGAATTTAATTTGAATTTCTTGAAAATTGGAAAATAAGGACCACACCAATGCTCTTAAATATCCAGAGCATAATAATAAGAATAATACTGGACTGTGCGGAAATTCCTATCCAAAAACCTTCAGCGCTAAAAACTCAGCGAGAAACATAGAGTTCATACAAACATCGGAACACTTACAAGGCATTGGTTGGAATTACTCCTGATGGAACCGTGTCCTAAGTGTCAACTTTGTATGGAGGAGCCGCATCAGATAAATTCATTGTTCAAAACTCTGGCATACTTGACCTTATAGAACTGGGTGACAATGTCATGGCCGATAGAGGTTTTGACATTGATGCAGAATTAAATAGAAGAGGTGCTAGTTTAAACATTCCACCATTTCGCAATGGGAATTTTCAGTTGTCAAGCGAACAGGTAGACACAACGCGCCGCATTGCTGAGGTCAGAATCCACATTGCATGAGAGAGCAATTCAGAGAATCAAAACTTTTCATATACAGAGTAACCTATGTAATACACTGTAGTTTATTTCTTACATATTTTTGTCATGCGTTTAAGACATCAGTCCTTCAACTTTTGGAAACAGTTTTTGCTTCTTGTTTGCATTGCTGCAAACGTTCATTAGGGGACTCTGAATATGATTAAAAATGCCATTTTTCAAACTTTAGGGCACGTTGTCATGGTAACTATTTTTTGCCTGATTTGAGTTTACGGTAACAAAGAGTCGCCCGCGTGGCGCAGTGGTTAGAGCATTCGCTCTAGAGTCGCGGGGTAAGGAGATGACCCTTACGTCGCGAGTTCGAATCCCGCTGTGGGACGTGGAGACCGGTCCTTTGGATGAAACCGTATAAACCAAGTTATTCTGGAGTTTCAAAACCTTTTGTCTTCACCTGATAAAAAGATCCATTTACATTATATCTTAATAAATCAGATTGTTTTAAGTTTTGCATGCCCACAAAAGATCCACTAAAATTAACTTTAATAAATATTATAGCTTGTCGCATTTTTTTAAATTCCAATATGCTTTATGTTGTTGAAATAGGACTTTATTTTTGGTTTAATGAAACAAGGCAATAAGAGAGAATGTTTTCTTTTTTTGAATGTTGGTTTGTTTGTTTTGTTCGTTTTGTTTTTATTCTTTGTTTGTTTGTTTTGTTTTTTTTTGCCTAATGGTTGACTTTTTGGGTTCAGTACCATGTCAATCTCGATATCTTCCATGCCATGATGCACTGAACTAAAAATAATTGTTAGTGCATGACGAATCAACTATAAAAAAATGAAGAAAAATATTTATTAATAAACGTGTATAAAACAATAAAAACACCAGGTATATTTGACAAATATTATGACAACTAAAATTGTTCTGTCAGCTCAATTGACGTCTCAAAGTTTCTTTAGCCAAACTTCGTTATGTCGGTCGGTCACTTTGTATGGGCTATCGTATCCGGAGAAAAAGTAGAATGCGTTCTCGAATCTAGCACTGTTACCGATTTGATCAGCCAAAGTCTGAAGTTCGTTCATGTAGTCTTCTGCTTTTGGTCTACCTCCAAATGATCTACAACGTTTAGATTAAAAATACATATGAATATGTATATATAAAATAGATGATTTAAATTTATATATCCATTTATTAATTTATGCTACATGTACATTGGTTTCATTAAAATTCATAAAGTTCATTAATTTCAATTAAAATTTTGACAAATGGAACACTAATATATAATAGCTTGTAGCAGTTTACAAATGAAGGTGCCTTACAAATGGTTGCCGAATTGGAAGATTATATCAATATTTCATGAAATAACCAGGGTTGTACAATGGCCAAATTTTCTTTTTGGGAGGTGCATATTTTCTTTTTACAAAAAATATTATTCACAATCGTATTAAATCTGTAAAAATTCGGGCTAGTAGTTAACCCCCCCCCCCCCCCAAAAAAAAAAAAAACTTTCAGTTGCATTCATAAATTTCGATCTTGTAAGCTTGATGGATTCCAGTAAGAACTCTTATTTGGACTTACCTCACAAAAACCTGCATGGCGGGTAAGTCCCTGAGATACACGCGCGGATCTGTGGGGGTGGGCGTGTTCGCTTGTAAGGAGAAAGGGATCATAAAATGGGTCATGAACGTGCTCTCACAGGCGGGCCCAGGTCCGTGGAGCACTTCACGTAATACTGGGGCGGTCATGGGGATTTTTGAATCTGGAAAAAATATGATATATCTTATTTTTTTAAATTCTGCATGTAAACATGTATAATAGTATCCACTATCCAAATCAAACTCTTAAAGAAGATTCTGTGGTGAATAATAATAACGACTGCGTGATGAAAAAAAAAAAAAAAAAAAAAAAAAAAAAGATCTATTTTAAACGATTTTAGTACATATACTTACGAGCAGAATTATTTCCAGATATATAATAGAAAAGTTTATCAAACATTGTTTTGTCATCGTCATCTGTGAATATCATGGCGGTTAGATTTGTCATCACCCATTTTGATGGTTCGTACTGACGGAGCTCATATCCCTCCTTCAAAAATAATAATAATCTATACTTATAAATTAACAAATTTCGCAAATAAACTCCGAAACAGGTGTACCAGAGTTCTTACTAACTCCTCTAAGAATACACTAGATACAAGTTGATGTCCGTAAACTATATTCAGATTTCACTCCCATAGTAAGTATTGTACATTAAATTAAAAGTCTACTTTCATTTTCTATAAACAGCCATGAAATAGCAAAAACATGAGTACGGTGGCGTTTCCGGTTGGCGGATCTATGTTACTGGCAATTTTTAATGAAACTGACAACAAGCAATCCTTTATTTGTTTCATAAAACGTCATCACTGAATTATTCAATCAAAACTTTATTTAAATGATGTAAAAAAAAAAAAATAAGTTGTGATAACCGATTAAAAAAGGAAATGTGCAAACTATTTTCGTCATTCACCGATCTTAATATTGACGGAAGCTTCTAGAACATCCTAAAGCATCAAGCCCGATGTTAAAAAGGAAAAAAAAAAACGAAAAAAAAAACCAAAAAACGAGGCGATTATAGCTGCATGAAAAGTTTTGTGTGAATGGTCATTGAAATAATGGTAAATCATTGATAACACTATAAGTTCTGAATATATTTATTATTAATTTCAGTTAAGTGTGCCGTTTTGCATTACGTCACAACCTATGACGACAGCTGTGATCAAGGTATATAATACACGCCTCCTAACCGCAAACTTTATGACTGGTAGTTTCTTCTTATCCTTGATTGGTTGCTCGTGCAACAGACTATCTCCGTGTCAATGTTGATAAAATGAGTTGACCAATCAGACAGCGGCGTTGTGAATTGTTTACGCTGGGCGCATCTATCGAAAAAGATCGTGACGTAATGCGAAACGGCACACTTCACTGGAATTGATAATATACATCGAAAGACTATTACATATATGTTGTAGGTTTTCCTAATAAATTTATCGGTAAAATTTGTATATATATTCCTTACTGAGAGGCATCGTGGCAACAAACGCGAAGTACAATTTGTATTTCGTAATAAACTTGCTTACATGAAAAGAGAAAATTAATGAATAAGGTAGTGTTCAAATAAAATTAAAGGTATAAAATTTTGTGCTTTAATCAACACATTTCATTTTTTTTTCTCTGCTATTTCATTGGGCGTTAAAAGCTAATTTTTAAACAGGAACTTGGTTCTTGGTTTATAAATATGTTTGGACCTTAATACTGTTATGTAAAGAAAAGTAAAGTACATATTTTACATATCAATAAGGTACATACATATTTATAAATCAAGACCCAAGTACCTGTGAATCCCCCCCCCCCCCCCAATGAATTTATCAGTAAAATGTGCATATTCGCTACTTTTATCCTTGACGGAAATGGAATAAGAACATCTGAAGTACAATATCCATAACATAGTATACATGTTACAGGTTTCACAATAAACGTCAAATAATGGAATTGTTATTTTTTCAGGCTTTTACAAAAAGGGGTGGGGGGACGTATATCTACTTAGATAATATATAATATTGATATTATCTCTAATATATATATATCTCTAATATATCTCTAATATATATATATATTATATAGAGGGGACGTATATCTGAACAAAGTATTTCTTCCTGCTATACGCCTGTAGGCTGTCAGTAGAAACTACAATATATTTTCTGACTGTAGTGGTATAAATTCAATTCCCCGCGCTTGCGCGGGATTTCATCTAGTAATACATAAATAAGCCATAAGAAAGAAAAGAAAAAAGAAAAAGAAAAGTAATACTAATGAATAAATAAATAACAAGAACACAAGTAAAACATACAATACTTTTTATCACAATTACAGGTAAAGTGTGGATTTATTTTTAGTAGGAAGTGTCGTATCGATACTCTCGTCCATCATTATCAGTGAATTCTGCGGAGTTTTTCTCATTAGAGCCAGTGTGTCACGGGCACTTGTTTCGTATATGGGGTCACCCCCTTCTTTTTCTTTCCAGAAAAAGAAGGGGGTGACCCCATATACGAAACAAGTGCCTGTGCAGATCAGAACAAATCTGGTAGATTTCACAGAATGAAGTCAGTGAAAATAGTTTTTTTTATCAATATGTTAAGCTGGTTTCTTTTCCAGCAACACTTGGAACTCCAAACTCTCGGTATTTAAAAAAAATGTCCCTCTGTGCTTTTATTATTTTAGAATACGAATTCTACAATTTAAATGGCATTTTCTGACATCCCCTGTTCTGATATTATCTAAGAAAATGGTTAATTACTTTGAATGTCTGAAGGACGGAGAATCTTGGACAGTCCAAATGATTGCAGAATGCCGGAAGTGGGGGAGCATCGTGTACATGTGTGTGTGGGTCGTGAAGAACTAACCCGACGGCTAGTGGGAGGAAACAGGAAATAAGGACCTCACGATTCATTCTGAAAATCAAATATAGAAATTTAAATTTATGATAAGATCAAAAGAGTATTTGTATATGAATAAAAAATAGAAACATTATATAGATATTGTCGAACAGAATTTTCTCAAAATTTACAGGGTAATCGTAAAGGTTGCAGGCCTTATGTGCTTAAGGCACGAAGAGGACTAAGTAAGTGCAACCATTAAGGTTCATTGATTCTTTGATTAGAAAGACAATTTTGAATGGGGTGAATTTCTATTATTCCTTTATAAAATTGCCAAGTTTAAAAAATGTCTTTATTGTCCACTTTTGCCCCGCATGCTATGTTAATATGGTTTGTATTTTACTTAAAAATAAATTTCTTTTGGGAAATCATAATTATACGTACATGTAAAGCAACATTTTATATGAGTGAACAGAGGCATAGGTACCTTAAAATAGTCCACCTACCTTAAATTACTGCTTCTTTTTAATTGAATCAAACTGATCACTTGTGTGTTCTATTACTTTATGATGCTCCCAATCAGATTCTTTTTATATTTGAACGAAAATGAGTTATGTCACCGTGTACATACTCACATGACGCACGTGTAAAGCCACGAGGGATGATCCCCCAGAGGAAGATAACCAAGTTAAAACCATATTTATTCAGACATTATGTTGTGTAACCGGCCTTCCTTAGAAAATAGCCGGTTGAAGAACAAATAACTGTTATCTTTCTACAAATACCATTTTGATATCAAAGTTTAGTGGACGAGTCCTGATACACAAAGGTCATAGGAATGACTTGGTCATTTTATAACCGAACACTACCAACAGTTATTTGTAAATGATTCTTTGGGTGAGGTGGGGGCTGGGGGTGACAAATTCTTACCTCGGACTGAAGCAGACAAGAGGATAAATTACAATTTCATGAAGGGTACATTTGCAACACGATGAATACAATATATGCTCTTCATGGTAAAACATGTGAACTCCAAGTACTTCATCTTAATAATTATACATATACCTGCAATGAATTTGATTATAATTTCATTTCGTCGTATGAAAATGCAATTAACATGTATCACAATGCATGATTTTCATATAAAGATGACGTCGTATATATGTAAAAATTTTCAGATAGTATATCTGGTATTTAAAAAAAATAAATAAGTAAAATGGTCATGAAATAACCACAGCAAAACATAATAAAGCACCACCTTCACATGAAATAACCACAGCAAAACATAATAAAGCAACACCTTCACATGAAATAACCACAGCATAACATAATAAAGCACCATCTTCACATGAAATAACCACAGCATAACATAATAAAGCACCATCTTCTCATAAAATAACCACATAAGGCAGCTATGGCATTCCATACCTATCAGTAATTAACTCAGACACGCTGAATTCTTTTCCATATTTTCAAATAATAAAAAGTATAGAAAAAATAAGCATAATTCTTAGTGTTACATAAATTTATAGAACTAATTAAGTAGTTTAACACATTAAGTCAATGCTTTTCCTGAAATAAGATAAATTTCCTTTATATATAACAGTAACATGGATGCATGTAAAGAAGACCTAGAGCTGTGCATCTAAAAACAATACACCTTTAGTACTGAAAAAAATATCAGGTTTTTAAAAATAGTTTTGGTAACACAGGCACTTAACATTTTATTACAGAAACATGTGCCTGTGTTTGGTACAAGTAAGTATTAATAATCATGACACATTTCAAACATACTTCCTTATATCTAGCAGATATAGAAATTGATTCTATGAATCTACTTCTCGAGCTCCATTTTTTTTCTTAGTGTCTTTTTTTTTTTCATTTCTCCCAAGTCATAATCTGCATGCCATAAATGGGACTATAGATAATCTTTCTAAAAGGAGTCAATAATACGGCCTCACACGTGTTGGGCACGTTTGTACGTTATCAAACAAAATTTTCAGGCCCTCGTCAGTCTATAAATACGGAGGTTCAAAAACACCGAAATTATTCAGAATTATACGAGTTGAAAGGTGAATAAATCTGTTGGCATCCAAGGTAAGAAATGGATATACAACTTAAGCAAAATACATCTGTTTCATGTTGTTTTGTCCGAAAAAAACCCCGGTGCAGTTGAGTTTTAATGAGCTTATTACAATTATCTATTTTTAAAAAAAAATATATTTATCTGTTTGTTTCTTCTTCTTTGTTTTTGTTCTGTATTTAATTCTTAAAAATATATAGCTGTTTAAAAAAATCTTAATGCAAGATTATCAATTCTGAAAAAAAGAAGAGATTAACGTTAAAAGCATAAAACTGTTGGTGTGCATGACTTACATGTAATAATCAATAATAAATTAAGGTGAAAAGCAATATAGGCCTATAGGTAATCTAAAACTTGTATATTAACTACAACATTTTCAAAGTCAGTGAAAATTGTACAATGTACTGGATATATTAGAATATTTTTTTGGCTTCTAGAATTCTCCAACAAACAGTATTTTTTGTTTCAGTTGTAGATAGTAGCTGGGATAATGATTCGACTTGCTGTTTTCACATGTATCCTTGCTCTTGCTCTTGCTGTCCCCAATCAACCATGGTTCTGTCACGACTTAGACTGTCCAAAGTATACTGTGCTAAAAAACTTCACAGTAAGTTTTGGGTAGTTTAAATGTGAAGGAATTTTTAGTTCATTTTCTTTTTATAAGTCGTTGTGCTTTTCCAACAACACATCATTCACAAAGTTTATTAACATTACACTGTGAATTCGTGTCTGACCTATTAACAATAATTAGTTCCACTGTACATAGATAAAACCCTCTAGTGCAAAAAATTAACAAATTCGGATTTTACTCAACTCCTTGATTTTCTTGACACTTAAAAGTTGTAAAGGTTTCAATTTAACATATTCGATCATGAATACGTATATTTGAACCTACATGTACATGCATATTCAAATAATACAGTAATTTTGTTTATCTAAACAAATTGAACATTTCATTATATAAATGTGTATCCCGTTTCCAGCATCACCAATTAGACACATTTACACGTTTTTGTTATTCTTTTGTGTACTTTACAGGGCTATGAGTTAAGGAGATATGAAGTTTCACAATGGGTAGCAACAAGAGATATGGTTACAAATTACGATACCCACAAAAATTCACAAATGTTCTTCAAGCTTTTCTACTACATTTCCGGAAATAATACTGCAGGTACTTAATAATAACATTCATGAGATTTTCATTTGTAATATAAAGTAGAAAGAATTTGCATCTTGTAATAACTTTTTCAAGGTATGAAGATTCCCATGACTGCCCCCGTGGTGAATATCTTTACCCCTGGGGTGGGGATGCAGCAAACCGTGTCGGAGATGCACTTTATGATTCCCCATAATATGCAGCCCTACCCTCCCCAGCCAACTGACCCTACCGTGTATATCACAATGCTTCCAACGCTGGACGTCTATGTCAAGTAAGAACGTTAACTCAAAGCTAATTACAAAACTAATCAAAGTAAAGGTTACTTAATTTAATGTACATGTATATCGTTATTGTTCTAAAGTTAACAATATGTCTTTGATCTGGGGCTCAGTCTACAATAATATAAAAATATTGCATGTAGTTGAGTGTAACATTGAAAATTTTCACCCCAAGAAAACCACTGTCAACCGAGGCGCACCCGAGGTTGACAATGGTTTTCGAGGGGTGAAAATTTTCAATGTTACACTCAACTACATGCAATATTTATTATATTATACTGAATGTTTTATACAAATACATTTAACAGTGAACCTTGCGCACATAAATTCTGCGCAGTCAATATTTTTTTGAATATCACCCGTCGTCAAGCAATGTTGACTGTTGCTACGCTGGAGGGCGTGGCTTCATTGTTCAGCGGGTAATAGTGTTTTTAACAAATGATTCTCGACGAATCAGATTCAACTAATTTACATGAAAGTATAATAAAACAAAATAATAGTTAGGTTACAGAAGCGAACTTTCAATAACGGCCAAATTATTCAGTTAAGATTTCATTTATATTTAAAAAGAACATTTCATTGCAAGGTACAAAGTTTGACCGCTCCCTTATAGAGTATACGTGAGTTCGCTGTAAACATTTTTTACTGTATTTATTTATCTACTTTCTTCCAGATCTTTTAGCGGATTTGCGAATCACATGATGAACATTGTAAAAGTAACAGAACTGAAAAATGAAATTAACAACACTAGCCTGCATTATGACGATCATTTCTATACCGCTGGTTATGACGGACCTTACTCAGTCAACAGGCATAATGAAGTTTGGCTCGCTGCCAAAAATTAATTACTGTGATACTTACAATGAATATGTACATATGTAACATACTGGTCATTGTCATCTCATATATAATATGAACAGAATATCTCACATCATATGCAACTTCCATCTGTATAAAGAAAAATCATCATCACTATGTAAATATAATTATTTTGAACTTTGTAAATATTTTTTAAAGAGGTAAATAAATATATTTTAACAACATTCGATATTTTTTTTATATCAGAATTGGAAAAATTCTGAAATATACCTTTTTATGCCCCGTAATCGGAAATTCGAGGGCATATTTAATATTTGGACTGTCCGTCAGTTTGTCCGCAAAAATGTTAACCTTGACCATATAACTTTTGAAGGGTTGGTGCAAGGGCTTTCATATTTCACGTGTATTCCTTGTGGCAAGATCTTATATTGGGTTCTAACATTTTTTATCCCTGACCTTGTTAGTGGGGTACAACAGCTATTTTTGACCCCATGACCTTGACCCTGCAGTTTGACTTACTTTGGAAAATCTTTAACCTTGGTCATAACCTTTGAACGATTGGTGCTACATGACTGCCTAGGGCTTTCATATTTCACATATTTATTCCTCGTGACAAGGCCTTTCTTTTGGGTATACCGACATTTTTTTTACCCCATGGCCTTGACCACAGAGTTTAACCTACTTTTTGAAAAACTTTATTTAATCTTGGCCATGAACCTCGTGAGCATCAATGTTTCACAAACACATCTTGTAATTTTTGGGAATATACATTACAGAGCTATTGGGGTACAAGCAGTTCATCTTCACTACGTCAGAGGTGTTAAGTCCTCTTGGTGATATCAGGACCCCTAACGTCGCGAGGATGCTGGCTTTTACATAAGGCCATTCCAAGTTTTTTTTCTCTGTTTAGCGTCCACCCATCCTTCAAAAAACCTACCTACCTATTCGCAAAAAACAATAAAAATTATTCACAGTTACGAAGTTACAAACGGTAATTAAACAAAAACAATTAATATTTGTTGTCTCATTGCGTTTGATGTGGTAATAAGATCGCAATCTAGGCAAAACACGTTTGTTTCATACTGTTTCCCCAACAAATAATTATTCTCTCTCTCTTTCTCTTTTGTTTGGTTTTGGAGATAAAGTTAAAAGCACACAAATGTCAGTATGCAAGAAAATCACCATCGAATTTAAAGATGAAAAGCAATAATTGTTAAACAGTCTGAAACTTGTATTTATACGCATACTGAAAGGTGTTTAAAAATGTAAACTGTACAAAAAGTTGAGAACTTCAATATCTCGAATACCAGCCGAGGGATATGTCAAAATGATTTGCCAGTCCCAGCCACTTTTTCTTTTTTTTTTTTTTAAACCATGTTACCTCGAATCCTCGGATATCTCGATCTTTTCTCGGTTCCGTCGAGTTTGAAAAAAACTAAGTTTGACTATATTTTCTTATCAGAGGTAGGTGAAGTGGCATAGTCTTCATCAACTGTTCTAAAAAAATAATACTTATGGTTTTGGTATTCAAAATCGTTGATTAAGTTGAAGAAAAAAGGGATAAGAATATTGGCCAATTTTAGTTCACCTGAGTATAATCAGGGCACTCATTGCTACTAATCTCGGCTGAGATTTGACTTGGTTGGATATTTGGACTAGCCTGTTTTGTCCTTTGATAGTTTTATGAAAGTTTTGAACATTTTATCAAAACTGGTCGACTACAGAGATCAGAATATAGATTTTTAGTTCAACTGTTCTTTTCTTACGATTGTTTTTAAGGGTAAAGCTGCATATTATTACAAGTCTTTCTCTATAAAATAATACATGTACATGATTTCCAGCTGAAATTTTATAACTGAAATTAAGTAATATGGCAAGTTTACTAATGGAAAAACATTGCATTTGTTAATAAACCAAGACTTATTCATAAAAAAGACTATAAAACAAAAATTCAAAATAGCACTATTTATTTGTGAATTAAGGGATAAATCATATATAAAACAAACCTAGTCAGCTCTTGATTATTCTGAAAATTTACATAAATACATGTAGTGAAATGTAACAATTTTCACTAATACTTAGAGTATCAGTGACACAACATACCGTAATCTAATCTCAAATACCTAAACTGATATTTAACATGTACATATATAATAAAAAATTCTTTAAATATAAATTGTTCCAAATGTATTCCCTTTTGGAGAATTTTTATTAAGCAAAGTAGTAGTTAAAATTGCAGTTTGTTGCATACATGCATTATTGTCTTTTTTGCAATGCCCACTACATTGTATATTTAAATCTACATGTGCATGTTCATAGTTATATTATATTTAATACTGCATGTGCATGTACTTCGTTATACATAAATATGAAAAATTTTCTGGCCAAAGGATTATAGTGCAAATAATTATACTCATGTACCAAAGCCACAGCACTAAAACATTTATCAAGAAGCAAACATTATGTCTCAAATATATCCGCTGTTCTGTCAACTCAAATCATTAAAACTAAATATCTCATTAATAGCACAATCTCTTCAAACTTGCTCCAGCTCCACTAACACACCATTGCAGTCTTTAGGGTGCAGAAATACCACAGGTTTACCATGGGCTCCTATCTTGGCTTCTTCACTTAAAAGTCGAATACCCTTAGATTTTAGATCCTTCATCGCTTCATTTATATTATCAACCTGCAAAAAATACTAATACATATATTTGCAAGGCTGGTCAAGTATATAGAGTCACTGACAGCAGCTGTGTAGCTAGGGTTTATTTGATAAGGATACAATGTTGAGGCATGGGCCACCTTAAGCCCTAATCACCATAGAGGTCCAGGACAAAGACACTGGGGTGAAGGGAGGGGGGGGTCAAAGCCCACAGAAATTACAAAATATCAAAAACCTAAGCTGTGAATTGCATGTCTAAAATGTAAATATTAAAAATATTTAGGTTTTCGTTGACTGTACCTAAAATGAAGACCATTCCATACAAAAGTTCAGTATAGAAAAGAGAAAATTTAACTCAATAAGTATTTACTTTGTCATAAGTTATCCTTAGTAACTTAGTAAAATGTTTTAAACTGTAGTTGAAATCATTGTACATGTACCTCAATGCAAATATGGTGCATACCACCACTTTTGTTTTTGTCCAGAAAATTCTGAATTGGACTTTTATTTCCCAGTGGGTTTAAGAGCTGCAATTAGAAAAAAATAATATAGTGTAAAAGTGCACTATGGGTTGCTTAACTTTTATTTTCTGATAAAATTTATTTTCCCACCTCTATCTTTGTTTCCCCTAGCTCAACAAATACTGTATATACTCCATGATCTGGTTGAGGCTGAAAAAAAAAATGAGTAGATATCAAGTGAATGAGAGTACATGTACATGTACTAAAGAGGAAAAATCCTTTCTAGGAGAGATACTGTACGTGTACATAAATTGGCGTATTCAAAATTTAGTGCAATCGCTGAGTATTGAGTTGTTAGCGTATTCATGAATTAGCACTACACAAACGTGCCATATATTGTATTTATAAATGATTTATTAATGGTATTCATGAATAAGCGCATCGTTATCTGTGCCAAAGCCGCTAAAATATGAAGCCCGCTATTTTAAGTACACATACAGTAACTCCAACATTTATGCCAATATGTTTCTACATAAAATGTGATTTTTCTAAAATTTTGAAGCTAATCGTATAGACGACTTTCACATTTACAAAAGTAATTTCCCTTTGTGGGGTCAATCTGGAGTCACTCGGTGTAACCCACTGTTTTCCCTCAGTAGTATTACTAACTTTATGAGGCAGAGTCTTACAAAAATCTATATATTATATAAATGTTCATTATGTTGTCTGTGTTGCCCATACCATGGGAATACAGGAATGGTAGAAAATAGTCCTAAACTGTTTGAAGGTTTAAAATATTTCCAGGTAAGAGAGGTGTGCATGTGAGAAAATGAGCATTATGCTGACAAAGAGAGATAACTCTTAAAAATGTGAAAGTCATCTATTCTAAATTTATATTGCATTTTATTTGTATCTTCATTTTCTGTCAAAACACAAGGTGCAGTAATGTAACTTACATGCTTTTCACTGACTTTGGCTCCTAGAACATCTCTAAACATTGAAGCTGCTTTTTCAATATCTGGAGTTGCTATTGCAACATGATTGATCTTGCCAATGTTCCATTTCTGAAACAAAAATTGTAACAAGCAAATTCATGCCTTGTCACAGGTAATGCACATGTTGAATAACAACACCCAATCTCCTCTCATTAAAAAGTTATCACAATTGCTAAATTTTTTTGAAAATTAGGTCAAACTTCAAGGTCAAGTTTACATAGTCAAAAACCATTCCATGTTTGCATACCTATTGTCACAGGTAATGCACATGTCAAATCTTCTCTCATTCAAAAGTATATCACCAATGTTAACAATTTTGAGACTTTGGTCAAACTTCAAGGTCAAATCTCAGGGCTAAAAAAATCATAGTATATTTGGAAAGGTCTTGTCACAGGTAATGTACAAGTGAAATATGAAAGCCCTTATTGTTCTCATTCAAAAGTTATTACCAAGCAAGTTAAAGTAATGTTTAAATTTTTGAATAGTATGTAAAAATTTAAGATCAAGATGATGGGGTCAAAAATCATAGTTTATTTGAAAAGATCTTGTTACAGGTAATGTACAGAGTATATATTTGAAATATGAAAGCTGACATCTTTTCTTAAAAGTCATGATAAAGGATAATTTTTTTGTGACAGACAAATGAGATTAAATGTCCCCTCAAATTCGCAAAAGTGGGGGACAAAAATAGTGAGCCCCCCTCCCCAACATACTACGGGGACATTCTGAACCTTTCTCTTTATTGATTAAAATATCCCCATAATATAAGGAGAAAAATATTCGGGAAGTTTCTAGTATGCCGGTCCCCAGAATCACGCGATTGCGCATGAGCAGTTATTTCCCTTGCCGTTGCTATGCAGAATGTAAACAAACCGCCATTTTCCCCTCGCTTCAACAAAACGCATTCGATCGAGTGATTAGGGTTAGGGTATATTGTTTTAAGATTGGAACTGTTTTATAAATCCACTCTTAAATCTTCCTGACTTTGGGCTAATTCGTGTAATTTTTGCTTACAAAAGGCACTGCCAAGTGCCTTTTGTGACCAAATACTTGCATGAATCAACCTAATGTTGAACAGTGTCGATATACCATCTTATAGGAGTAAAGCATGAAACATGCAAAACTTAAACAGACCGTTAATTAAATATGGCATTGTATGCGATCTACGAATTAGGGTTAGTGTATATATAGCTCGGATATTGTAACTGTTTTATATTCACCCATGCTCGCATCTATACCACTTTGGGCTTATTCATGCAATTTTTGCTTACAAAGAACAGGAAAGTTTTGCGAAACTTGGATGAATTAGCCTTGGTCTAATGTTGAAACATGCCCGATATTGTGCGCTAAGTTTTGGCAAGTAATTGGTAAAAGCGACTTACCGTTTACTTAAGCTCGATATCCTAACCTCCTAATGTCCATATTCAGAATATTTTTTTCTTTCAAATCAATGGTGATGTACAATTCAATCAACCAATTACTAGTAATTAGTTATCACTTGTTAAATCCCTGCATTTCTCACAAAAATCTCGCAATTTTAGTAGCATTTCACTTTGAGTCCTATCAGCTACTTCTTCATCAGTCTTCATTACGTCAAAACACAAGTGACGCATGTCATGAATATTTATGAGATTACGTCAAAAACTGATCATGTGACCACATTCCTAAACAACGCAAAATGGAGTTTTATCTACTAAACAAGTACGTTATTTTACGAAACCTTTTAATTCTCATTTAAAAAACTGTGTTTAAAAACCAGTTTTTTAAACCCAATTTTTCACAAGGAACACGATTTTTGGCTCAATTTTGCGATTTGTGGCCTTTTTTTATCGATTTTGCCGATCGCTCACGCGATCGTATTATATTGTACACCGCCTTCGGCGGCACCTATTTTAGCGCCATATTTATAGGGACCGGTATACTAGAAGTGTTCCAAATATTCTCTTATGCATACTCCCTTTCCTGACCTTTTATGCATACTTCTTAAAGTTAGTTATTTCAGAAGATGGTCCAAAAATAGCTATGTACGTTCGCCAGAATCTTCTGATGATATCGAAGTGAAATCTTTCATGTTACGTGTGGGTGGTCGAGGCCCGGGGGCGGGATTGTGAAAGTACAAGGAGAAAAGCAATAAGCAAAACTCTATCTAGAGAGCAGAAAGGGCAGTGATTGAAGTACTTATTTTATTGAAAATACTAGACATAAAAATATAAAATTACTGCTGTTCCCTTTCTGATATAGCCCACTTTCATCAAGGTCATACTACATATAGAATTATACCATAACCATGATAACCAAACATTGAATTTCACTCAAAATCAAGTTTTAAGTTATAAACAATCAAGTTAAGTAATTAACGATCATGCTTTCTTTGCCTGGACTAATTTTGATTTCCTGCCAAAAATTTTGCATCCGTAAATAACATAAATAGTACATATACTTACTCCAGCTGACAAATTCTGGTGGGTGTGAAACGCTTTGAACGCCGACCCTCGTGTCTGAAAAATTGAATGCAAAGCATGTTTTCCTGTACAAAAAAGTATATTACAGTGTTTTTGCTTCGTGTTTTTACATTTGAATTCCAAAGGCAAAGTTTCCGAAATAAAGTCATTCATCATGTTGACTGAAAACCGAAACATTTCAATTTACTCTCATTTCATACAAGTATCAAAATTGTGTCATTATCACAATTGTGTTATGACACATATTTGAATATTTTTAGAACTATATGCACAGTCAATAATGTTATTAAAGCTTTATAAATTACCACAATTTTTGAAAATTGTTGTAAAGTTCGGGATGACAGATGAGCCATTTTTCTACTTTCTCTTTTCGTTTTGGGAAAGATCGATCCCGATCTATAAAGGAAATATGTATATGCCTGATATACAAATGTATTTCTTGCCCAGAGGTATCTCCAAAATTCATTTATTGAACATGGATATTATAATAAAAGTATCATGTATTCTAAAATAAAGTTTTTATTTAAAGAGGTGAATTACATCGGGATCGAGATAATAAAAATATTATCACCAAACCAACATGTCGACCTTGGGCCACGCTGCTGGTGTTGTTTGTCGTAAAAACTGTGTTTTACAGGTAAATTTTGTTCAAAGTGTGCTGGAATATATGTTAACATTCTAAATATCACATTATGTTTGCTAGTTCATTGCTTTTCTTGATTATATAGTGAAACAATGGCCATTTACATCTATTTTAGCTTACGCAATAAACCAGGGACAACTACGTCTCTGTTTGATATATTTTGTAGGAATATTTTGGTCTTTCAATGTTTTTTTCCATCACTCTATTCAAGCTTATTAAATGTCAGAGATGTTTAATACCACGTCGTCAGAACCATGTTTGGGGAAACGTCAATAACAGAGGATCGAATGTACTAGTGCAAAACTCCACGCAGGCACAATTTAAGCAGGTAATTTGTAAATAAAAGTAATGGAATTGACCTCTAGCACTAGGGCTGTCACGGCTACCCGAAATAACCGAGAACCGCGGTCCAAGTTGTTCGGTTCGGTTTTGGTTCCATTTTACCGGATTTCGGTTCTGGTCTGGTTTATATATTAGAGTCTGTTCAATACAAAAAATGGCATCGAAATCAAAGGAATGATGATGATAACAGTGATAAATAAACATCACAACTGAAGTCTACTTCATTCCATGACAAAACACTTGTCACGGAAGTATTAGATAATTATCAAAACGAGCAGGAATGGTCAGGTTGTGGCTAATAGTAGGCCAAGTAGTTCTACACACCGATGTCTAGACGTTCGCTTGGTTAAGACTTGTTTTCAATGTAAATTTAATGTAACAAATAGATTTTTCAAGTTAAATTCATGAAATTAAGGTTTAAAATAGGTGTAAATAACCAAACTGAAAAACCCGAAACCGAACCGAAAATGTACAGAACCGACCCGACCTGTAAAATTTTGGAACTGTGACAGCCCTATCTAGCACACAGAGTAGATCTGTGATTTATGATTATAAAAAATAATATGTTTTATGGTACAACTGTTTAGGTCAACATAGTTGTATTTACATATATTATATTTCTCTGCGGTTTATGGTTTCAAAGGAGTAGTGATAACAAGGTTATGCGCTGCTTGCTGCAATCGCTATTAAGAAGTTTCTTAACAATTTTTTTTTCCAGGTCAGATTTTACTCGGAAAACCAACAGCCAAGAAATTTCTTTCAAAAACTAATTAGCCAAGTTCAAGAAGATCTGAAAAAGAACAAAGAAATCAAGGTAACTTATAAGAAAATCATACATGTACCAGATCTAGATGTATACAATATGTCACGTATTAGTTTTTAACCCCATTAACTGGATCACGATGGGGCACAAGAATCCACAGGAGAAAAGAATTTGTCCTGTGTTTTGAGTGATGATTCTGTTCAATATTTAGCAGAATTCCACTAATTTGAATCCAAGAATCTGCTATTTACAAGTGCTTTCCAATATTTTGGTACTTTCTATTTTTGCAGCTATTTGTTTTTGTCCTGGTAAAAAATTCACATTGTTTTGTCTGTGTTTTGTTATAGTCTGCATCATTGATACGTTTGCTTTTATCTCCCAAGTAAGGTTATCACAAAAGGAGGGATGATTCAGACTTCCTTGCAATGGTGTGGCACTTAATTCAGCCAGATTAGGATGTAAAAGTTGTTTAACTGTCACACTTCAATTTTTGTAAACCTATTTTTGGCTTGCTATAAAGCCCATATTTTGTCAGCCCCTAAGCCCCCAACCTATTTCAGATATTTTGGCCAATTCACAGAATCATCACAGTGAATTTTTTACCAGAAAATTCTCAGCTCTTTGGACGCTGGAAATTGTGTTTGACTCGAGACTTAACTGTGCTATGATAATGGATAAAGTAAACAAAACAGTGAATTTAATACATTTCTATAAAAAATTAAACCAAGGAAGAAAATTCATTGTCATACATGTGTACTTTATTTTTACAGGAAAATTTAAAGAAATTTCGAGAAGAAAGAAAAAGTCTAGAGGAGTCAGAAGCATTGTTAAAAGCAAGAGAGAAGTTTGTAAGTTAATCTCTTTATCAATGTCTTCTAATTTTTATTTGATATATTGCATTGTTATACCCTAAGAGAAACAATAACATGAAATAATGAAGTGTCAGATCATTACAACCTGACTAGAATTGGCATGCGTTAAATTTGATTAGTCTTTTGTCAACTGTAGAATGTAAAAGACAATTAATTTTGACTGATTTATGTGCATTATATCAAGAACCCCCCCCCCCCCCCCCCCAAAATGAATAAACTTATTAAAATTATAAATCATGATTGTATTTCATTTTTCAGAAAAAGGTACAAGAAGAAACCAAGAAAAGTTCCACTGTCTTTCAGAAAACGTTTGAGGATGTTAAAGAAAAAGTTTCAGAGGTAACTAATCATGTTTTTTTTTCTAGTATTGTATCTTGTGGAAAGATTGTATTTGTCTAAAATGCTCTCTCTCTCTTCATTATGTAAAACCTTAGGAACATAATGACTTCAGTTCACATGCATTTGCTATGTTTACATTTAATTTAAAGATATCAGTTCATAAGATTTAATTAAATAGATATTAAAATTAAAAAAAAACAACCCTTTGTAGACAGTTGATGAAGTCAGTAAATCAGAGTTTGGGAAAAAAAGTAAGGAATTCACAGAAGAACTGGGGAAAACAGCTGGTAAAGCTGCGGAAACAATTTCCAGTGCAGGAGAACAGCTCGCAAAGACCCAGCCGATCAAGAAAGTTGCACAGGTATACCATAATTACAATTGGAGATTTCGAAGCATGAAGCTGTACCGGTATTGAAAGCTCAAGTAATTACATACATTAACTATTTGGCCAACATGACTTTTCTGCAATTTATTAGAATTTGGTTCTAAGGGCAGATCACTCCATCTGCAGAAAAATATCAGAGAATCAGAACTCTTTAGTATGCAGTGTAGAGAGGATTTCTAACATCATGATTTGCTGAGAGTTTTTGAGGAGGGGAGTGGATAAGAAGCATGTGGCTAACAAAGACGTCCCCTTTCCTGAGGTTAAGATAGGTTAAAACCAGTTTTTATGATGGAGTTGTTTTCTTGTTCACAGGGTGTAAAAACAGTATCTGAGGAATTAGATGAACTTGCCTTCTCCAGAAACAGAATTTATAAAGCTCCTGGTCAGTATATGCTAGAAATTAATAAAAGAACATCAAATTGAAAGAAAATGAGTTCATGTGAATTTAGTTTTGCTGCACATGAAGACTATATTGCCCTATTTAATAGCTGTATTTATTCATGCAGAGAAACCACTGAAGAGATCAGAATTCAGGACAATAAAGAAGGAGGAGAAGGAAATCAAAGTGGATGAGTAAGAATTCTGTGTGGTCTTATCAAGTAAACATTTATATAAAAATAATCCTTAATTGTTCATAATTTCTTCAGAGTGATGCCCTTATTTATGGACAATCTGTTTATTTTGTAGTGAAACCACAGGTGTAACATTGCATAAAGACTCCAAGTTCTACCAGAGCTGGCAGAACTTCAAGGAGAATAATGCCTACTTAAATAGTAAGTAAAAAAGTAAGATACATTGTACAAGTAACTGCCTCTGTATTATGAAGGTTAAGACATTATATAATCACAGTGTTTGTTTTAAATAAGTTTAATTCCTGGTGATTTGTATGAAACTGGTAAATGTGAATAGCTTGTAATCTTTATTTATTGAATTTTATTAAAAATGTCTTCTGAATTGTCACAAAGGAATTCTAGTAGTGTTTTGAAATAGGAGGAGGTTGGCCTGATATACTAAACTGCCATGCATAAGATGATTCTTAGATGCTTATTGAAAGGCTTATACTAATGAACTCAAATGTAACTATATGAACCCAATCATAACTGTATGATTAGTTGGTATGAGACTTTGCCTTACTTATTTCAATTAACATTTGTTGAAGATGGCTTCGTAATCTTTGATTACCTAATTTTGTTTATCAAATGGACACCTCATGTGTGATGTTAGGTTGATCCTTATTCTTTATACAAATAAACTGTTCACTTTGTGTTTTGTATTCTTTAGAAAATCTGAGTAAGGTTTTTGAATTAATTTTTTTTTTACAGAAATGTTTGAATTAAAGATGAGATATGATGAAAGTGACAATCCAGCCATTAGAGTAACCAGGGCTGTAACAGATCTGATAGGCAGGGCTCTAGGTAACTGTTGATATTACTTCGTAAGAGACACTCTAATAACTGCATACAATAGTTCTCTTTCTGTTTTGTTTGCATCATCAATATTTGCTTTTAATCACAGATAATGATGTATTTAAATCGTAAACTTCTTTAAACTTAGGAACATGAAATCAACATACATGTACATGTGCATGTATCTTCCCTTCATGCTTTCTGTTAAATGTTGAGTTACTGTTGAAATATGCTATGTAAGCAATTGACATCCAACTAGGTGTCACATTTGTAAACATTTTGTTGTTTTAGGTAGTGTAATGACACCTTCAACTCTAAGTGAGGCGTTGACAGAAATCAACAAATACGACCCATCATTCACTCCAGAAAGTTTTGCATCGTATTGTGAGACTATTGTTGTCCCTCACATCTTAGAGGTACATGTAATATACCAGGTCTTGAGAGCTAAAAATTATAGAACTGATTATTGATGAGATCAGGGGAAAACACTGTCAATTATCATGTTGATAAAATTACAGAAAAAGAAAGAAAGTGGTTTAGGATTTTAAAGATAATTGTATACAAAATATTTAATGTTTATACTGTTGACAACCTATATTTTTCTCTAATTTTGTCCAGACATTCAATTAAAATGTATTATAAGCATACTGTATGAATGCTAACCTTCTACAAAAGTTAAGCACACACATTTAAAAAACTACTAATTTATTCTAACTTTGTCATTTTTTAACTTAAAGGCCATGATTAGAGCTGATTTAGAAGTATTAAGAGATTGGTTACATGAATCCGTAAGTACTACTAAATTTGAATACTTCTTTTGTTGTTGAAAGGTTTTATCCCTTGCATTTTTGGTTACATACAGTGTAGATGATCGTCATTCAGATTTAATGCATTTCATACTTAATTTTGTCCCTTTTGCTCAACAACTTATACATCTGACATTTTTCTGACATTAATACCAGTTTTAACAAACTACATGTGGTATGGGACATCTTTGGATTCAGGGGAGCAAAATTTAGGCACTTACTATCCTGCAGTGGTTTACTTTTTCTATATATAAAATTGTGTCTTTTTCCAGGCATACAATGTTACATCAGCAATACTAAAGCCTTACATAGAAAATAGATACAAACCATGTTCACAGATCATTGATATTGGGCGAGTGGATGTAAGTATTAAAATCTACACAAGATTGAAGTCTGCAATTATCCTATTTCGTCCATGTCAAGAATGATAAATACGCTTTTATTTAGTCTTATTAAGTAGAATTTTATCATTATGTATGAATGAAAAACAGTCATGTTTTTTAAGGAAAAATAAAGAAATAAACCCTGGGAAACATTTTTTTTTGCTTGCTACCATTGAACTGTAAATAATAATATTATTTCGAATGTGGTATATTTATTTATCACTGTGATGTTTCTGTCTTAATTATTAGGTTCTTGGAGGTCAAGTTATGGAGCAGGGTCCAGTTTTACTTATTCAGTTCCACGCTCATCAGATTGAATGTTGGCGAGATTTTAAAAATGAAGTGGTTGTTGGTAGTCCAGTGAGTACAATTGATACAAGCATATAGATCAGTGATATATAATGATCATAATAACAAAGATTTTTACATCTGGCCAACTAGACCTGCTTGTTTACATTTTATGAAAAGGTTTGCAAATTTATTGAGAAACGGAAAGTTATAATTTTAGATTTTATCATATTTTTTTATGCTTGTGTTGTCCAACTTTTAAGTCACTGTATGAAGTAAAATGCATGTACACATCAGTAAAAGAGCAGTGACTTGGCATGGGAAATAAACATGATAAACAAACCCTCTCTCAATAAAATACCGGTATGAAATTATCTTGTCATATAATTACTGTGTTAATGCCTACACCTAGCATTTTGATTTTAATGGATAACTAATTATAATTGAACAAAAGAAGGGAAGTGAAGAAGAATTACAGATTTAAATTTCTTTTTCTGAGGAACTAAGTATTAATTTTGGCATTCCAAAATCATAGTATCCAATTATCTGCGCACTTGTTGGCAAATCTCTTGAATGTGCTATTGAAAGACACTTGTGGAAAAGTATATAAAAACAAACATAATAATTTTTTTGCGCAGTAAAAGAAAGCCAGCTAACAGTCTTTTTTTAGTTGTTTCATTTAAAAAAAAATTCTGTTGCAACATGTATCTGTACCTATGAAAGTAGTATACAATTGTCAATTTTATATTTTTTTTTTCAGGATGATATTTTTAAAATGACCTACACTTGGGCTCTCTGCAGAGATCAAGATGAATTAGACCCAAAGGCTGCTTGGAAACTGTTAGAATTTAGTGCCACAAAAACGAACGTAGTTATATAAACACTTATCAAAAACACTAGGCTTTTAACGTTATATGAATGGTGCCAAAAAACATGAAGGTGGTTCCTTCATGAAATCCTTGTCGTCAGTGTGAAACGTGTGAAGTAATGAAAACATGTGAAGTTATGAAAATGTGAAGGTGTTCCTTTCATTTAATGACATGTACTGTGAAGTGATGACAGAAAAAATTCACACCTGTTTAACATAGGTATCCATGTGAAGACTATCATTCCATGAGTACATTTGTATGTGATGTGGAATTTATGCGGTTACAAAGGTGCATCACATTTTATAAACCATTCATACGCCCATGCTCTTCGATCTGTGTATGATAACTCAAACTTATTTTATGTGAGTTCAATACCATGCTTCAGATGCAGTTCTTATATATTTGATAGGTGTTTGTTACTAATGACATGACTGATAATAGCTACATGTACAATATCAATCAGATTGAACAATAATTTATTTAAATGATTAATAATTTGAACATTGTTTGAATTGAATTATCTGAATCAAATATTTAAATTAGAATGTATAAAGGTCAACTCGACCTTTTCCAATAAAAAAGGAAAGATAAACATCAATCTATTAAATTGTTTTATATTATTAATCAGTTTAATAAGATCTTGTATCCGCTGTCGGATACCCACGAATGATCTCGTCTTTTACTCATCACCCGTGGGCAAACTCGCCTAAATATAATTGTAAATATGCTAATTTGTTGATTATAGAATTGGAACTCTTCAATTTTGCAAATACATACGTAACATAAACTTTAATTTTTTGATTTGCCATTGCGACTCTATAGTCTTAGAGCAGCCAATCAAATGACCCACGCATATTAATTACATACGACGATTTTTCGACCAGTTTGCCCACGGGTGATGAATAAAGACGACATCAGGGTTTTCCGCACTTTTTTTCTAAACGCTTGCAGATATTGAGCTGATTTTTGGTATGTGACTTTACCTTGATGTGTTATAGATCAAGTATGCATTTCATTCCGCTTCATTGATTTTTAGCTCACCTCAATGAAGTTGGGGGAGCTTATGTGATACCTATATTTTCCGGATGAGTGACCAGGTTAAGGTTTTTGGAGCAGATCTCATTTCCAAGTAACTAAAAGCCCTATATTGACCAAACTTGCATGGATGATACATATAAGAATGTACACTAGTGGACTTGCTTCAGATGCTGGATCTGACCTACATTTTCTGGATGAGTAACCAGGTTAAAGTTTTTGGAGCAGATCTCATTTCCAAGTAACTATAAGCCCTATATTGACTAAACTTGCATGGATGATACATCTAAGGATGCACACTACTGGACTTGCTTCGGATGCTGGATCTGACCTATATTTTCTGGATGAGTGATCAGGTTAAAGTTTTTGAAGCAGATGTCATATCCAAGTAACTATAAACCCTATATTGACCAAACTTGCATGGATGATACATCTAAGGATTCACACTACTGGACTTGCTTCGGATGCTGGATCTGACCTACATTTTCCGGATGAGTGACCAGATTAAAGTTTTTGGAGCAGATCTCATTTCCAAGTAACTATAAGGCCTATCTGAACCAAACTTGCACGGATGATGCATCAAGGGACGAACAATCTCAAAACTTGCTTCGGATGCTGGATTTGACTTACATTTTCTGAATGAGTGACTAGTTTTAAGTTTTCAGATAAGTCTATTCCCAAGTAACTGCAAGCCCTATTAGACCAAAATTGCATAAATGTTGCATCTAGGGATGCACACTCCTAGATTATTAGTTTAGTGTGGGACTTTGCCTTACTTAAAGACAACATTCGTTGAGGTGAGCTTTGTAATCTCTGATTACCTATGTTTGACTTAATTATGGCATTTTCAATTTTTAACGGGAACCAGATTACACTTGCCGGTAGGGGACTAGTATTGCTAATGCAATACTCTCAGAATGCTTGTTAATCTATCAAATTAAAATATATAGTTACATGTAATTGCCAGATTTTTTTATTTTCAAAATTAAAGTAATCAAGACTATTTCGATATAATTGTTTATTATGATATTTTTATTTTATTTGTATATATACATGTATATCTGAGCAAGCAAATTGCAGAGTGTCATGTCTCACAGAGGATATATATAGTTGCGGTTGTTTTTTTTTTTAACCCTATAAATAAAACCATAATTATAATTATTTATTGAGTAATTTGATGTGTTATTAGACTGCAGCTTAGTTCATCATTCATTAAAATGATGCAACGAGCAATTTAATTTTCACTCTCAATGTTTGAACAAATTGTGAACATCTCTTAGATCTATAAAATACTTTAATTGACTAGGTACCTTTCCTGAAAAACCCATTTTTAATTTATGTTAATAGTTACTTTCCCAGGAAAATTATGCCTCAAAACATTTTTTTAATGTAATGGTAAACAAAGACCTCATATTTCTTGTAATGAATAGACCTTGAATGAATGCATATAACACCCGAGACAAATAGGTGAAACCTATTACAAAGTAATTTTAAACTACCGGTATGCATTTGTGTCCCATTAAACCTGTTTCAAGTTAGATAATCATTATTAATTTATTTTTGTAAATAGTGTTTTCTTTGCTCATATATTGCTTTGGGAATGAAACCGTACTTAACGAGATTCCCAAACACATAATTTCAATTTCTTTTGAGGCATCTGGCTTCGTGGCCATTAAACTTAGACGAGCTCACTTTTGATCTAATTCTCACTTTTACAAAAGGAATATACTGTACTACAGTATGATGAAACCAGAAGTCTCTGATGAGACTGTAGCTCTACTGGTCTGTACGTATAACAAAGAAAAAGTAGCACTTGGATTTGAAACTTTGCAACATGCAACAACAAATAGAATTATGTATCTTAATGCAGTCTACTTCTGTGCCAAGTTATATTGAAATCAAACGAAAACTGTAGGAGGAGTAGCATTTTGAAAGTATTTCACAGAAATTTCTATTTTTAGTAACCATGACAACACCATTCACTGAAATCAAAAACCGAAATGCATATTATGTATCGTAATGTATTCTAATTGTGTGCCAAATTAGATTGAAATCAGACCAAAACTGTAGGAGGAGTAGAGTTTTAAAGGAATTTCACAGGAATTTCTATTTTTAGTAACCATGGCACCACCTTTCATCGAAATCAAAAACCGATTCATTAAATTATGTTTCTTAGTATAGTCTTCTTGTATGCAAAATTATATTAAAAGCAGACTAAAACTGTAGCATAGCATGAGTAGCGTTTTAAAGTAATTTCACAGAAATTTATATTTTTAGTAACCATGGCAACACCGTTCATTGAAATCAAAAACCAATGCATTAAATTATGTTTCTTAGTGTAGTCTACTTATGTGCCAAGTTATATTGAAATCAGACCAAAACTGTAGGAGAAGTAGCGTTTTGAAAATTTGTTTACATACAGACGGACGGACACCTTACTATCGCATAAGCTCTTCTGGTCTCTGTCAAGTAGAGCTAAAAATGAGACTGGGGTAAAAAATGAGCTTTACTGTTTAGCACAAAAATATTTTGGGAAAAATAATTGAATGAAAAGAAAGCTTGATCAAACGTATAATCTTTAGCATTTAAAAATATTGTATCTCATAAATGCAAGTCCAATGCATAAATATCTAAGATCAACTTCAAGAACATATTCTGCTTTATTATTTTCAAAGGAAAGAAAATGAGTCACGATATGAAATTTTAATACAAAATATGTACTGAATATTTATAACATTTTGAGGATGAGAAGAGAGGCATTGATCGTTTTAAAACATCATGCAATACATTTAAAAAAAGACAATTCATAAATGTTTATGTTCACCATGAAATTCATAACCAAATACAATACATTAATGATAAAATCTCAAAAAATATGAGCATGTGCAAAGACCTCAAGTTTACTGATATGAAAGTGACATCTAGTATTATTATAAGCAGTCATCTGTAGTTGTACGAATTGTCCCACCAGACACCGAGGACAAACAATTATTACGTTTTTGATCTGACTGCCGAAATTACAGTACACCATCTCGGAAACGTTTGTTGTTAAACCAATTCTGACGTCAAAGTTAACACATGGGACTGAATCTGTTCAAAAGAAGAAAATATACATGGATTACTGATCCAAAAATTAGATAATTGATCTGTTGTTGAAAAGTTGATTGGCATTGATACAGCATACATTAAAATTTAGAGAATAGCAATATTCAACAAGGTAGTATTTTGGCCCTATTAAATTATCAAGGAGGTTCGAATTCGACAGTAAGCTTTTGAGCAGATTTTTGTCTGGACCTATAGACTAAAAATTTTGCATCATATATCTTGTTTCCAACAATAAATTTGGATTCTACAGTGTCAATTAAACTATATTCAATCAAAACCTCACATTTAAATTCCATTAAAAATTATTTATGAACTATATTTTGTGTTGGAAGGTGTTCTAAACGAAATATGTTCAATTTTCTATTTTAAAGGATTGACTCCCAGATTTCCGCGCAGACTAAACTTAGAGTTACATATATTTTGAGCAGCGAGATAATGTTGGTTGATCCTGAATTACATAATATATTAACACGCATTCTCTATAAGCCCCAAAAGATCTTGGAAACGACGTTTTGGATTTTGATGAAATTTGTACCACAGTTGTCTCTTGGTACAAAATTATATATCTATTTTCATATATTGGGACATGTAAATTTTAAGGTGTTTGATTCTATAAATAGAAATGGGAACCCCCTTCAAATACAATTAAGGCCTTACAGTAAATGGTTTCTAAAACTTGTCAGTTCCTGTTGTTAAAATATTGTAGATAGCAAATTGTTTGTAAATATTTTAACGAAGCTCTCAGTATGTGGAAAATTTTTATTTTACCTTATTTTACCTACTAAAACCTATCTAAGTTTTTTGTGTGTGTGTGTGTGTGTGCTAAAAATAGAAATGGGAATCCCCTTGAAACATTGTGCATTTCAGTCATTGGTTTCTATATATAGTACTTGTCAGTCACATAATGTTTATAATAGAGAATATTCAAATTTTTAATCCATAATGTCTAAAATAGTGCAAGAATCTCTATTTTCTAAATAACTCACTGCATTTATTTTTAGACAACTATTGCTATAAAAAGAAAAGAGAGTCCATCTTCAATATTGTGTCAATTACTAATTGCCCAAATATTTTTGTTCATGACATATTGTAGACAGCAGTATATTTTGTAAATGTTTTTTCAATGAAGCTTACAACTGGTGGGAAATTGTCATTTTTCCTCATATGCTGAGATGTTTCTATTTATGGGTGTTTGTGCTATAAATAGAAAAGGGAACCCCCTTCAGATAGTGTAAATTTCTGTAAATGGTTTCTAGTACTTGTCAGTCAAACTAGGTTTATAACAGTTAGTCTGCATTTTTTCCATCCAACATTGCCTGAAAAAGTGCAAGAATCTACATTTTCTCGATAATTCGAGGAATATATTTTTAGACCATTGTTGCTATAAAAAGAAACAAGAGTTGATCCTCAATATTGTATCAATTATTGTACAATCACATGTTCTTTTCGAAGGCATATTGTAGAAAGCTTAATATTTGTTAAGACTTTTTCTATGAAGCTTCCAATTAGCATAAAACTGTCATTTTTCCTAATATTCAGAGACATTTCTATATTTAGGTGCTTGATACTATAAATAGAAATGGGAATCCCCTTCGACCATTGTCCACTCCAGCTAGTGGTGTCTAGCTACTACCATTAACATCTTTATATTTACAATATACTTCCTAATTATCCAGCATTGACATCTAAAACTTTGCTATAATTTGAATTTTTACATTTTTCTAAAATATATCTGTTTATAGATACATGTTACTAAAAATAGGAGTAAAAGGCCACCGATATTTTTTTTCATGAGATGACACTACTAATTCTCAAGTATAAAAACTCACATAAGATTTGGAAATTTTCCACGGACAATTTTTCTTATTTAGCCTTGAAGATCTCAAAAAATGCTAAATTCAATTTTTCAAATTTTCAGAAACCATGTCAATTTGCATGACCTTTTTCTTAGATTGGGAATATTTCTAGAATAAATGATTATGTGCCCTGTGTACCTTAAAAGTTCAAATTATCATATGATCCAATGATTTTAGTTTGAGTGTAGTAGATACCGATAAATATCCTTTTACATTTGCTCAATTTTCATGTTTTCATTTGGTCAAAAGGGCCAAAAATGGCCAAATTCAATGGATCCGTCTCCATGGCACTCAAGTGCACGTGTGGAACTTTCGACACCACATTTGCTAGTTTTGTACCAAGACACATCTGTGGTGCAAATTTCATCGAAAGCCGAGACATGTCGTTTCCAAGCCCTATAGTAAATTTGTTGGTGCTTACAGAGAATGCGTGTTAAATATTTCGAAGTCCATAGACATATTGTGAAGAGAAAATTTACATATTGTATTGTGAAGGTCGAGAAAAAACAAGATGTGTTTGTGAAACACTGATGCCCCCGTATGGCAACTTATAGCAAAGGTTAAACTTCCTCAAATGCAAATCAAATATGTTGGTACCCAAAGTAAGGTCTTGTCTCAAGGAATAAAACTGTGAAATATGAAAGCCCTAACAGCATCCATTGAATAGATATGGAAAAGGTTAAAAGTTTTTTTTTTTCAAAAGTGTGTCAAACATCAAGGTCAAGGTCAAATGGTCAAAATAAATTGTCCCTAAGGAAAGGCCTTTTCCCAAGAAATACACAGATGAAATATTAAAGCGGAAGCACCAATTGTTCAAAAGTTATGACCAAGGTTAAAATTTTTCAAAAGTAGGTCAAACTCCAAGGTCAAGGTCAAAGGGTCAAGGTTGTTGCTATCCAAAGAAAGGTCTTGTCACAGGGATTACACATGTGAAGTATGAAAGCCCTAGCACCAACTGTTCAAAAGTTATGGCCAAGGTTAAAGTTTGGTAAAATTTTGCAAAAGTGGGTCAAACTCCAAGGTCAAGGTCAAAAGGTCAAATTTGGTGGTACTCAAAGATAGGTCTTGTCACAAGAAATACACATGTGAAATATGAAAGCCATAGCTCCAACCAATCAAAAGTTATGGGCAAGGTTAAAGTTTTTCCGGACAAACAGACAGACAGAGGGACGGACAGGGTAAAACTATATACCCCTGAATCTTCGATACGGGGGCATAAAAAATAGCCCAAATTTTAGGTTACATTTAACTTTTTGCACTATTTATTGACTTCAATTACATCACAATGGTAATATTCTTACTCATCGCACGGTAGTTCATGGGAACATTTTTCTGATTTGCTAAGAATCGTAAGAAAAAATATTTGGAAATGTAGTAAATATTTGAAAATTAACACGAAAAGAAATTTTTAAAATGTCTTATGAATTTTCTGAATCTACGGCAGACTCAAAGGAGTTTTCAAAAGTAGGTCAAACTCCTAGGTCAAGGTCAAAGGGTCAAAGTGGTTGGTATCAAAAGCAAGGTCTTGTTACAAGGAATAGACAAAGTGTAAACTTTAAAAAAAAAAAGAGATCGTTGAATGACAAATCATCAGAAAAATAATATAAGATATGAATTTAATTTTTGATAATTCATGAAGCACATACATGAACTACAACGCTTCACGCCTGCATATTTATCATGAAGCGCTAATTAACACACTTCCTGAAATATGCAGGCGTGGAGCGTCGAAGGTCTTGTCCTCATGAATTCTCAAAAATTAAATTCATCTCTTAATTAACACAAGAAAAGTTACATTCTCTGTGAGTGCAAAAAGTTCACATGAATGGTTATGCGAAGTAATTTGAAACTCTTTCTTTGTCACAGTTTTCAATATGTTCACTCAACACAAAATAAAACTGTACGAAAAAGTTGAAGATAACAAACAGTGATCTATTTAAAAAAAAAACAAAAACAAAATCTACAATCTATACAAATCTGTGAACAGGGCACATAGTCCGGATCCCCGGAAATTCTAGAGGTGGGATCAGGTGCCTAGGAGCAGTAAGCATCCCCTGTCGACTGGTCACACCCGACATAAGCCCTATGTATTGATCAGATAGACGAACTATTCAGTAGTCAAATTTAATATAAAAACAAAGGCCTAACAACTGGTATGAAATATGTCATTTATAATACGACCCACAGGTTATATTTGCTAACAAGGTATTTGGTTCCATAATTTATTCGAATAAAATTATTACATTTAAACTCAAAAAAGATGTATGTGCAAGGTTTAATTTCAGTGAAGAAATTATTCATTGCACCATAGAATCAAAAAGAAAGCAGATCCCCCCCGGCCGCGCCCCCAGTTAATATTTTTATGCCCCCGGATCGAAAGATCCCGGGGGTATATTGTTTTTGTCCTGTCTGTCTGTTTGTCTGTTTATCTGTTTGTCTGTTTATCTGTTTGTCTCTCTGTCTGTTGTCAACTTTAACCTTGCCCATAACTTTTGATTGGTTGGAGCTATGACTTTCATATTTCACATGTGTATTCCTTGTGACAAGACCTTTCTTTGGGTACCATCATATTGGACCTTTTGACCTTGACCTTGGAGTTTGACCCACTTTTGCAAAATTTTATGAGACTTTAACCTTGGCCATAACTTTTGAACAGTTGGTGCTTGGGGTTTCAAACTTCACATGTGCATTTTTTGTGACAAGGCCTTCCTTTGGATATCAACAACTTTGACCTTTTGACCTTGACCTTGGAGTTTGACCCACTTTTGAAAAACTTTAACTTTGGCCATAACTTTTGAACAGTTGGTGCTTGGGGTTTCAAACTTCACATGTGTATTCTTTGTGATAAGACCTTCCTCTGGATATCAACCTCTTTGACCCTTTGACCTTGACCTAGGAGTTTGACCTACTTTTGAAAAACTTTAAGCTTGGCCATGACTTTTGAACGGTTAGAGCTAGGGCTTTCATACTTCACATATGTAATCCTTGTGACAAGACCTTCCTTTGGATACCAACCACTTTGACCTTCTGACCTTGACCTAGGAGTTTGACCTGCTTTTGAAAAACTTTAACCTTGCCCATAACTTTTGAATGGTTGGTGCTAGGGCTTTCATACTTTACATATGTAATCCTTGTGACAAGACCTTCCTTTGGATACTAACAACTTTGACCTTGACCTTGATGTTTTACTTACTTTTAAAAAACTTTAACCTTCGCCATAACTTTTGAACAGTTGCAGCTAGGGCTTTCAAATTTAATATTTTTTATCTTTTGGCCTGGATTTTGACTTGCATTTGAGAAACTTTAACCTTCGCCATAAGATGCCATACGGGGGCATCAGTGTTTCACAAACACATCTTGTTCGTTTTGATTTTTAATTACATAAGACTTTTGATTACAGGATCCAACCTCCTTCTTCGCAACACACACACACACACCCACACACACACACACACACACATATATATATATATATATATATATATATATATATATATATATATATATATATATATATATATATATATATATATATATATATATATATATATATATATATATATATAATTGTTTTGGTAGTCTAGGTTTTATGATGTCATAAATTGCTTTATTATTCCTATTTACAGATAATTTCTTCTAAATTGGTCAAAATCCAAGGTGTTTTTCAAAATATCAAATAAAGCATAACCAACAATCAAAAAAGTATAAGTATATAATTATAGAAGTGTAACTTCAGTTAATTATTTTTTTGATTGAGTGTATTACTATATATCTTCACTGGTGTAGATAATTTAAGGTTTTAATGACAAAATACAAATACTCAAAACAATGATTAAAATTTTTGATGATGATTATAGCATATAAAATTAAAACATTTTAACTTTAATTCGTAAGCTTTACCGTGAACTTTGTACGTCTTAATTTCATTTATCTCGTAGACCTGTCCTAAGTCTAATAGAAACCATGGTCTGGTATAGGATGTTGCAAGGCCAGCTCCCGTGGATGAATACACAATCTTTCCGAGAGCAACATTCACAGAACTGACTGAAGGAGAATGACGTCATTTGTCATCATACAATCATGCACGAACTTCAACGAAAATGTGTACTGATTCTTAATAATTTTATTAATCGTTTTCAATGTTGTCCTTTTGTATTATCTTTTTTTTAAATTAAGAAGAAATTTCTAATTTAGATTGGAGCGATAACATACATACATGTATGTACTCCATTGTCAATACCCCCCCCCCCCCAATTACTGTTTTGCTGTATGATAACTTACATTTGGGTAGTTTACATCCTAAATCTGATTTCTGTAAATTTTTACTTTATTTACGTTCATGATAGGATTAAACCCAAACCTGAAAAAACTTTACAAAATCAAGAATGTCTCCCAAATTTTAATTGGCATTTCTGATCATCAAGCTTCCTATTCTCCTCCACATTTATTTTATTCAAGACACATTCAGTATATGCAAGGATTAATTACAGGGTCAATGTTAAGTCTAATATGCAAGACTGTACATGTATATTACCTTCTTTGAAATCGTGAAAGGGAAGGCAAATTCTTGCTCCCGAGTGTGTTGTAAAGCATTCCTGGTATTTATTCAGGCATTGTGGTGTCTGAGACATCTATATCGAAAAAGAAATTATAAAAAAAAATAAGAAATACAAAAAATTGTAAATCAAGCCTTTTTGTGGTACATGAGAGAGAGAGAGAGAGAGAAAGAGGGAGCATTTGACTATATACTTACAGATTTTGAAGTAGTGTTCGCCATGTCAATAAGATAATATTGAAAATCGCTGTCCGACTTCAGCATCGATGGATAACCGTCGGCGTCCACAAAATTCAGCTCACATACCAAGAGTTTGCGGCAATAATTTACCGATCTGCATGCTGTGTTGCGGACACAATGTGATATACATGTGTTTTTTCCATATTTGTTTGCGGTGTGAAAAGTTGCGTTGAGTCTTTTTCCTTCCTCTGTTTTCAGAATAAATTGTTTGTAGTTACCACAGTCAGACAAAATTAAATCAGGATACAATAGAACGTTCAATACCAAATATATAATTTTCATGACTGTTTTCATGGCACAATAATTTCGTTCAAGATTTTCATATACAACGTATTTCATAAATCCCGTATTTAGGTATTTCACATCATTGGAGTATGAAACTAAACGGTGTCCCTGTCCTCCGAGAAAATCAACATGCTCTTTGACAGTAAATATTTAATATACATCTCTCGGAGATATGAACAAAGAGAACAGCTAGATTCTCCACCTTTATAAATTAACTTGTGTAACAACTAACCAACCAATCATTTCTTTAGTGAACAACAATAATGTATAGTGATTTTATGTAATTTTTAAAAACTTTTTCTGATTGAGCAATCGATTCAATCTATTGAGTTAATCGAACAGACAAGACTTGTTTATAATTTTAGTATGAATTTTTTCAATCTATTTCTTATAAAAAAAAAGAAAAGAAAAGCAAGCTAAATATTGACAATCAGAATTTTTTACTTTCTAACAAAAGCAGTAAAAAATAAACATGAACGTTTATTTTGCTATATTTATTGCTATCGGAGTTATCCCATATTTTCACTGATATTCACATATTTGTTCCATTGAACCCGCACTTTCTAAAGAAAGTTCGAGTATATTGTTGTCATTGGTCCGTCCATCCGTTGTCAAACTTCCTCTTACAATTTAAGCAGAAACCAATTCTTCTTTGGAGTATGATGGGTGTTGTCCTGTAGTTGTGCAATAAAATTTTGGAATTTTTGTTTTTACACTGGGGGTAAACTTCGGCTCGAAAAATGACTTTTAACAAAAAGAACTCTGATACATTTTGTACAGTAGTAATCATATTCTGCAAGGTGATTAGGGGTTTTCTGTAGGTGGGCAATAGGGTTAAGGAATTTCAATTTTCATTCTTGGGGCCAAATAGGGGTCGAAAACGACGTTTTTACATTGTACAAAAACCTGGCCCCCAAAACTTCGCTTATACATTTTGTATTTGGTACTATTGGTATTATTGTAATATGCATTGAGCCCTCTACCAAAATTATGAAATTCACGGCCCAAGGGTTATGGGTTCTGGATTTAGGGTAGAGATCTAATGATAGTATAGTGAAAATGCATAAATTCTTTTAAAAAAATTCTTCTTTCTCCCTGTATATAAAGCAAATAAACTAGTGCAGGGTAATGATGAGGAAGGATGCGTATTCCAAAATTATGAAACTTGTGACCCTAGGGTCAGGGGTTCAGGTGGATGTGGGTGGGTTTGTTAAACATATACTGAAAATGCAGTATTTCTTTGAAAATCTTATTTTCTGTCCCTGTGTATTTAGCAGACAAACTATAGGCATGGTTATGATGAGCAAGTGAGCCTCTTCCGAAATTGTGAATTTCATGACCTCTTGGTCAGGTGTTCTGATGTTAGGGTGGGGCTATTTTCAATCTACAGTGAAAATTCATTATTTCTCCAAAAATCTGCCCCTGGTCATCTGAATACAAAGTTGTAATAAGCAAGGGTATATTTATAAGATTTTTGAAAGTGTGCATCAGTAAGTCAATTTATTAATTTGTATTCTACTGAAAGAAGTTATTCCTCTTTGCTAAACCGGTGCTAGCCTAGTGGTAGGGTGTTCGCTTATTGATCGGGAAGCCCGGGATCGGTTCTCGTTCGCAGCATCAAACCTAAGACGTGAACATAGGTAGTGACTTCCCTTGCCAAGCTGGCGTTAGAAGTGAAAGTCACGGGTCTTTCGGATGAGACCTCAAAAACTGAGGTCCCTTATCACGGTAGGCATTGGCACGATTAAGAACCCTCACTGCTCAACTGGCGCTGAGTGCCGAGTATAGGTCTAAATTTAAAGCCCTACACCGGCATATGGTGACGTCTCTATATAAGTGAAAAATTCTTAAATGGGACGTCAAACAACATACAATCAAACAATCAATCCTCTTTAATATTCACCAATGATAACAAGCATTCTGAGAGTATTGCATTAACAATACTAGTCCCCTACCGGCAAGTGTAATCTGGTTCCCGTTAAGAATTGAAAATGCCATAATTCTGTCAAAAATTAATGAAGCAGGACGAAATGCAAACTTGATCTATAACTAATCAAGGTAAAGCCACATACCAAAAATCAGCTCAATATCTACAAGCGTTTAGAAGAAAATTGCGGAAAACCCGTAAAAATTGAAAAGGCCGTAATTCCGTCAAAAATCAATGAAGCTGAACGAAATGCAAACTTGATCTGTAACTCATCAAGATACACTCACATACCAAAAATCAGCTCAATATCTGCAAGCGTTTAGGAAAAAGGTGCGGAAAACCAAGTGGGACAGACTGACAGACAGACAGAGGGACAGACAGACAGACGGACGGACGGACAGACAGACGGACGGACAGACTCAGAGGAAACCTATAGTCCCCTCCGGTTTCACCGGTAGGGGACTAATTAACAGTCACTATAAGAAATGTAACTGAAAGGTCAATTGAATTAAAGAATTATACTAGAATTTTAGAAATATTTAATTCAAAAAGTACAATCATAGTTTTTAATGGTCAGGTAGACTTGTAAATAATAAATAAATAAAAAATGGGACCAAAATACAGTCTCTTATATATTAAATGTTCATTAATGACCAATAGAGGCTAATGTCAAAGGGAATGAGATGGGTTTACTAATAGCGCTTAAGAACTATTTTTTTTGTCCGCATGAGGATAGTGACAATTGAAGGGGGTGAGTACAGGCAAGTAAATAGATCAACTTTAAGATTTGTTACTGAGTAGTTAATTAATTTGCTGATCCCTGATCATCTTATTTCTTTTGCTTTTGGGCAACATTACTTCGTTCATCAACTTATTTCGTTTTACATTGTATTTTATACTTCGATCTATGGATCCTTTTCAGTGTTACATTATACTCAGGTTGACGTTAAGACCCTAAATTTGGTCCTGTTTCAAACAGAAAGTGGGTCACTGTGACCTATGTGGCAACGCACTTTGAAAAAATTACGCACTTTGAAATTTTTTTCAAAGTCGTTAAATTTGAGACAAAATCAACGCACTTTGAAAAAATATTTAAAAAAAAAAAATCATGACTTAGATTTTAATACTATAAAGAATCATTTTGCTATATTTCTTTAAAAAAAAACAACAGAGGAATTGATCTACCCTCATCGAGAACCAGGAGAAAACAGGAAGACGGTCCCTCAGCACAACTCTTTATCTTTCCTACCCAAACATATGTATTTACGTGACTGGTATGACATTGATATACTTTCTCTAAATAAATTTGACTTAATGTACAATAGATGAAAAAATTGAGATAAGCTTTTCTGGAAAAAAGAACCCTATTATATTATTATATTAAAGAAGAGAGGCTCAGGGGCCATATCACTTATCTACATGTAAGCAACAACATCCAAATGACTATACTTTCGCCAAAGTAGCTTTTACAAAATCAAATACAATAGAAATAAAGAAAAGGTCATCATACTGTGCGGGAATAAACATTTTTTTCATACTTCTAAATACTTATCAAATAACTTAAAAGACTATCATATTGTGCGGGAAAATTATTTTTAATGGAAAATTCATAATCGCCCCTTTTTCCCTAAGAAAAATGCGACGCTTTAAGTCATTTATCGATTCTTATATCTATACCGAACTTATTACAGACTGGATAAAAAAAGGAAACGAAATTGTGCTATTAAACAATCATTCCACCATTATTTCTAAAAGACCTATTTCCCTTCTATAAAATTTACGAGAACCTTTGGTAACAAGACAGCCACTAAAAATCTAATTCAAGATCGTTAATGACGCGGGCGATTGAAAAAAACTAAAAATACTTATAAATTCCCGGCAACACTAGCGACGAAAATGAAGAACAGAAATGTGGCAGTTGATGCAAATTTAAATATTTCCAAAGTATCTCTATAGAAAACTACATATAAATAATGTGTTCAATTACTTTATCTTGGTCTAATATAATATTAAGAATAATTTAATCTATTTGTATTAAATTGCTTTTTCAGTACATTTCCGTTTGTTCCATTTTACATCAAAGGACAGATCACTGTAACTGCATAAAATGAGCATGGAATTTGAATTTTATAATTATATAAAGTCCACAGTTGTTGGGCATATCCTTATATATGCCAATTTAATATAAAATCCGGTCACATTCTATTTCGTATGGAATGAACTTAATAACTTTCTTTATGCGCATTAACTAACCTTGTAAATTCCTACATTTAACTAAACCAAGCATGACATACAAACAAACATTGAGAAAGAGGAAGTTGATTCCTGTATGACAATGAGGGATCTTCGTAATATTTTGAATTTCTTTTGTTTCCTCGTGGGTACGTTATATTTTAATGGCACCAATTAAGTGTCAATATCATTTTCCTTAACATAGGCTTTCTTTTTATTAACAGTATAAATCCATTTTAGTAAAGTAAAAAAAATGCAAAAAAGGAAGTGATTTTTTTGTGCTTAGGACGATGTGTTTTTCTGTTCGTTTCAAGAGGTGAATGTCTTAAGAACCTTAACTCCATCCCATTTGTACAATTTCTGTACAATAAATATATATTTGTTCAAACTAAGTAAAGAATCCAAACATGTATGTAATCATTTAAATATGATGAAATACAGTATATCCATCAGGAAATTTTTAGGTCGAAATGAATACGACTAACAAATCAAAAACTGAAGCACTACATGTATATTATGCCCTAGAGCTCCTACTGTTTCTAATGTAAAGAAATTTATCATTTCTTCATTCACCACTAAGACGGAAAGTACCCATACAAAATCCCTGTCCTCTTTCGAAGAAAAAAATGAAACGAAAGTATACTAGGCTAAATTTTGGGGTTAAACAGTAACCTTGAGTTACATTTGTAGCAGTTATTGCCCATGTGTAGATGCCAGTAAAGAGAAAAGAAAGATAGGTAAAGAATAAACAATGGTCAACATTTTTACATTTTGGTTTTTACACTTTATAAATTATATCACTCTCTCGGTACCAAAAAACCTGGTCTTTTTCACTCCAAAAGAAAAAAAACCCAAATGATCATTATGCCATTTAAGCTTGTGGAGATGGAAATCTTTACCAAATTTATTTGATAATATTTAATAACACGTATCATGCATTTTTTCCTAATCGTCGTACAATACAGACTGACAATTTTATTTGAAATACGTAACAATATACAAAGGCATACATCAGTGATCAAGAATTATCGATTTATTATTGAGTATTATTAATAATTAAACACGTGTATGATATAGATAACTTACCACTTACATTGTATCTTGATTTGTTGCAGGAATTTTCACCGTAGAAGCACAGGGATATTACAGTAACTATTACTACTCCTACTACAAGTATACTTCTAACTCCACATCTACTAGCTATAGTGCTCAAAATTATAATACGTGAGTAAATAAAAGTAATTATGTATATATGTACTTAAATCTAACAAATTCTACATGTACTTGAACTTTCATGACAAATTTGAGAGAACATGAATGCAATTGTGAAAGAATAAGCACCCTTACAAAAATGTTTTGCAAAAGAATGAAAAGAAGAAAAAAAACTTTTTCCATCATAAAAGATATCTCTTTCCATTTGTGAAAAAGATATATCTCAGGAAAAAATGCCATTCTTTCAATTTTAAAGTGTTTCTCAACAATTATGGAGGAACACGGTATACATTATTTTTGAAAGGTTGGTGGTAGGGCACATGTATTTCTTGAAACTCATTCTTAAAGTTCATTGATACTCTGATAAGAGAGATAACTTTTAATGACATAAATATCTATTATTCCTTTACAAATTTGACAAGTTGAAATGGATTTTTTGTTTAATTTTGCCCTGCAAGCTATGATATACTAGTTAGTATTTTACTTATAAAATACATTTCTTTCGGAAAATCATAAAAGTTAAGGCAACATTTTATCTGAGTGAGTAGAGGGTTTATGAACCTTAAATGGGATTTCATATGGTTGGGACTTACTAAAATGTTTTATTCCTTTCCCACACGATATAGACTAATTTACATCGGAGCTATCATTGGAGGTTTGGTTTGCATTGTTGCCATAGTAATTATTGTTGTTGCCTGCATATGTTGTCGAAGAAAACAAGGAGCAGCGGGCACTGTTATCCACTCAACATCAAATCCTACCAATGTCGTATTTAACACCTGTAAGTTCTCTCTCTCTCTTTCTCGATGATGATGATGATGATGGAGAAGTAATTAAAAATGTCCTTTTCGATTATAATTATTCTTTTTTATCATAACAGCACAATCTGAGCAGCATTTTCATGGATCACATCCACATCAGCCTACGTTCCAGGGACATCAACAGAATACTTGTAGGTGAAAATATTTTATCAAGGGTGTGTTTTCTAGCATTCCTGAATATTCTCTCTTTCTCTCTGGCATTACATGTAATAAGAAACAAACTTATATTTTTCTTTTAGCACAGTTACAGTCCCAGCCTCTTTCCCAAGGATTTCATTCCCAACAGCCACTTCAACTGAGTGCAGGTATGTTAATACAATTCGTTATTTGGTATTTTGAAGCACAAACTCTCAGCGTAATTCATCTTTATTATCTATATGTTATATTTTGGAAAGGAAATATTTCACCATCACCATCCCCCAACGATTCCTTTCCTCCGCCATACTCAAAAGGTGAGTCAAAATAAATCATAACTAATATTGAAATGCACAGGGAGTTTTTTAAAAAATATTTTATAGTATTGTTCAATCTCCTCTCTCTAACTCTCTCTCTCTTCCCAACAGACATTTTGATCAAATATACAGTCCCTGAAACGTTCTACTTTCCCACTTGAACGGTGAGCGAACGCTGAACGAACGGTGAACGAACGCTGAACGAACGCAGAGCGAACGGTGAGTGAACGATGTGTGAACGCTGAACGCAACTTGGTGAACGATGTGTGAACGCTGAACGGTGAGCGAACGCAGAACGCGAACGGAGCGCAAACGCGAGCGCAAAGTGAACGGTGAACGAACGGTGAACGCAAGATAAACGATTTATTCGGAATGCCTCTGATCTTTTCCTTGCATTGAAACTATTCTATTGTATTCTAATGCCTGGTGCTAAAAAAAAATAGATAAATAATAAACAAACCAGTGAAAATTGTCCTAAGAAAGACGATACATGCACATTAAGTAAAATTATTAGTTTAAGTTTCTTACAATATTTTCTGCACATATGTACGATGTTTAAATTCAACTTTTTGATAATACGATTTTTATCGCTGTAAAACATTGTGATTGTTACCGAACGCTGTGTTATAACAGATGAAATTAATCTAGTTGTAAAATAAATATGTTTATTCTTATTTTATATATAAAACCATTACAAATAATGTGGATTTTAGAAGAGAAAACTACGGACTACGAATGAATTACAAAGGTTGTAACAACCATACAAGGCAATTCCGTGTAAAATAATAAGAAAAGAAATATTTTCAAGGTATGTGGACGTATAACGTATTGCATAAATACACTCGTATTTTAAAATTTTAATGCAATAATATATTTATGTGTCAGTTTTATTTTCTATGATGATTTATTAAGCAGACTTCTACATGTATATGTAGACATTTCCTGGCCGTGATTATACTCGGACAAGATGAGACAAAGAGGCAATCATATTATTTGTTATATATTAAATTTTCACAACTTGATATTTAAGTAATATGCTGTCATAGTTTTTATTAAACAGACGAGAGAGAGAGAGAGAGAGTTTTAGCCCCCTTTCCTCAAATGTTTGTACCTATATCAAACAAAAATTCTAATTTTTTTCTAAATATATCAGGCAGTGAAAGTAATCATTTTTTAATCAACAAATCCATTTGTTTTTCAGTCATAATCGGTTTTTATTTTCCTGCTTCAAGTTCACACGAAGTCCACGTGCATGACCTGTCAATCAAAATCATTCGACACTGTGCAGGTGTGAAAGTCTCGTCACACTGAAGGCAAAGTGTTAGTATTTCCAAAAAGTTTTAACATTTTTTCTTATCATTTTAAGATCTGATTCCAACATTTCTAAAAATAAATAAATAAATAAATGAATAAAATACATTGGGAATAAATACATGGAATAATTAAGCCGCTTGAATTTGAAACATACTCCCTGCCAATTTAAAATATCACCGACGGCACATGTATATTTTGAACTAGTTGTTTAATGACTTTGTTTAGATGCATGTTTGTTTGCTACAAAACACATTAACTTCTTTTTAAATGTTAATTAAAATGTACTGGAAATACTAACTAAGTAACCGATTTAGGGGAAGGGGGGGGGGGGAGGGCTCTTAATAATATCGAATGACAAACATTTAAAGTTACGATGAAAAATATAATTACTGGAGAATCACTTTGGTTATATAAATGATAATCATGTTATAAAGGCATCTCTCTCTCTCTCTCTCTCTAATTAAAGACTTTATATATGTAAAGTTGAAAAAAAAACTCTTTAATGTATTGCATTTTAAACAAATATTTTTTTTTAAACCACACTATCAATTTAATTCGCTCTAAAGATATTTAATTAACTGGATATCCGCAGCACTGTTTATCATTCTCAGAAAAAGTTCTAACATGTATTTCTGTATTATTTTTAAAAAATGTGACACAAATAAATATTTTCGTATTTTTTGCTGCAGTTGGTAAATTATTTTCTATCTATTAACGATTTGTCGTCCTTAACAACAGAATGTTGCAGTGCTTGAAGTATCAGTATTTTGCCCGTATTTAAATTTAATTTTTCAGCATCGTTCTACATATGTACATACATGTACTTATAGCAACATTTATTTTCCAGAAAAATTTTATAAATAACCTAACAGCTAAGTTAGAATAATAAAAATTAATTTTGTAGATAATTTTTTTTCCATGAAATAATGATTCTTTAAACACGGTATGTTATTTATTATATTCAAAACCTGTAAATCCTTACTTAAAAAAAGATAAGTCCTTTCACTTCGGAGTTCCGAATGACACTGAAGACTGAACGATAAGTGAACGCAGAACGCAAGGTGAACGCAAAGTGAACGAACGAAGAGCGAACGATGAACGCTTTGTGAACGGTGAACGCGAGCGCACGGTGAACGCTGAACGCAAAACTGTGAACGGAGAGCGAACGGTGAACGCACGGTGAACGAACGGTGAACGCACGCTGAACGAACGGTGAACGAACGGTGAGCGAACGGAAAAATGGGAAAGTAGAACGTTTCAGGGACTGTAATTATGTTAAAGGCAATGTCTAGTCAGAATTTTAATTTATGTATATATAAAACCTTACCTCTCATATAAATTGAAAAACAGCATCTTTAATTATAACATCGTGTTGCTGATGACAGCAGTTAAATTTGATACTGACAAGTTGGAACAGCTAATTATTTACTGAGATGTTTTGTACAGATCCTCCACCACAGATGTTAAACAGGGCCACTCCATCTGCTCCATCTTTACAAGATTTGGACAAGTAGAAGAGAGAGATTTTACAGGATTCTTACTTCCAGACTGCGTGGCAGGATTGGTTATCTCGTTGTTTAGATGCCAAAAGCGCCAAAATATTGTATTCTAAATATGCAATTAAATGAAATAAAAGCAATTACTAAAAAAAATTCACAGTCTATTCCTTTGCAAGACATTTTATTTAAAAAAAAAAAGGTCATAAGATCCATGGATAAAGAAAGCTTTATACAATGCTCTCTGAAAAGTTTCAAGTTCAACTTTCAAGCTTTATTTAAGACAAAGACCCCAACTAGGGAATATGAATAAAAATGAACATAACAGTATAACATAAGCATGAATGAGTGGCACTAATGTTTATTGCTATAATACTTGGGTTTTATATATATATATATATATATATATATATATATATATATATATATATATATATATATATATATATATATATATATATACATTCACATATATATATTAGGGATGTCAATTTTGTCAATAATTCATATTCGAATATTCATTGAAAGTATTCGAATATATTCGAATATTCGATAAAATTAATAAAATATGTTTTATTTTAAGTATGCATGATCCTACCCTCATGAAAGGTTTAATATTGGAAGTAAAATTGTATGAAGACTTTTGTAGATGTACAATAAGAAATTCCAATTGATATTTGTCAATGTTTAAAGTAAATAATTGATTTAAATGTAGAAAAGTATAATTCTAACAAATGAAACATGTGTATTTATAGTAGCTCCAACTGAGGAACCAGTCATCTTACAAAAGGCAGGGTAGTCGTAACGGTATACTGTTCAGATTTCAATATGTGTAATAAATTACAATTATCTGCCTAATAAGAGATGTGATTATCATCTTTGATAAAATGTTTTTAAAATATAAACAAATATTTCCATAGACAATATTCCTAAGTTAAAGTAATTAACTAATTTCCCGATAATGAGTATAAAATTCAGGAGTATGTACAACCCGAGATAATCAAGTAATTTACACATTGATTCTGAAATTAAGCCCTTTACAATATTAATTAGACTGATTCTATCGGACATTCATTCAATGATCAATTAAATTTATTTTGATAAGTATACTCACGCCTATTAGACAATCTAAGATTTCATTTTGTTGTCCTCAAATTCTAGATCCGATCGTATCTAACCAATAAAAACTATGAAAGTACGTTTTGTATTATACATAAAGCATTATTGTACAATTCTTTAACACCTTACTCAAAACAAAATACATGTAATTTAGTAGATCTATAAGATAAGAAAGTAGTGAAAGAAATCAGGCGATCGAAATTGATCGCTAGTAATTTAAACAGGAATAATTTCAGCACTGTTCTAATCAAAATTTATTAATCACAGTACTTCTTTTTGTGAAATCTGAAAAAACGGCGAATATTCGAATCTTAAATTCATATTCGAATATCAACTCATCGAATGAATATTCGAATGTATATATATATCGTAATAGTATCATTAATTTTTTACTCACAATGAAATTTTGCAAAATTTGGCAAGTCCAAAAACGACTTAAGTGTTATTTCAATTCAGTAGGTCATGAAATTTGATAACATTAGGGTTCACATAAAAAAAAAAGAATACTTGGAAGAATTTTTTAAAATTTTTTTTATTTATTTATTTATTATTTCTTTTGTTCTCTTTTGAAAAAAGCACATTCTAAAAGGTAATGAAATTCATACCCTAAATTGCTAGAGGAACAAAGATCACAAATTCTATCATCTCTGTCAACTCCCCCAAAACTGTCTTTCTCAATTGGAAATCATTGATTCATACATCTAAACTTACATAATGCCTTTTTCAAATCCTTTAATATTCCTGTAATATTTTTCAAAATATTTTTCAAAACAATAGTCTAATTTAAATAACCTATAATTGAGGGTTTTAGCACATAAAAAATACTGGTATACTAGATCAATCGATCTAGTTTTTACCAATTTTGACACCAATATTTGTTATGAGAAATACTGTTGCAACCATAACTCCGGGATTCCACAATCATTTAGTGTGTTTTCAAAGTTGATCCATTTAGACTGCATTCATTCATGTTCTCTTTAGAAGCTTTAATAACAATTTTGTCTTGTTAACCACATATAAGTCTATGCCCAACAACTGTGGACTTTATATAATTATAAAGTTCAAATTCCATGCTTGTTTTATGTAGTTACAGTGATCTGTCCTTTGATGTAAAATGGAATAAACGGAAATCTACTGAAAAAGCAATTTAATACAAATAGCTAGATTAAATTATTCTTAATATTATATTTAGACCACATTATTTATATGTAGTTTTCTATAGATATACTTTGGAAATATTTAAATTTGCATCAACTACCACATTTCTGTTCTTCATTTTCGTCGCTAGTGTTGCCGGGAATTCATAAGTATTTTTAGGTTTTTTTCAAACGTCCGCGTCATAAACGATCTTGAATCAGATTTTTGTGGCTGTCTTAATTGTTACCAAAGGTTCTCGTAAATGTTATAGAAGGGAAATAGGTCTTTTAGAAATAATGGTGGAATGATTGTTTAATAGCACAATTTCGTTTTCTTTTTTTATCCAGTCTGTAATAAGTTCGGTATAGATATAGGAATCAATAAATGACTGAAAGCGTCGCATTTTTCCTAGGGAAAAAGGGGCGATTATGAATTTTCCATTAAAAATAATTTTCCCGCACATTATGTTGGTCATTTTGAAATTATTTGATAAGTATTTAGAAGTATGAAAAAAATGTTTATTCTCGTACAATATGATGAACTTTCCTTTATTTGTATTGTATTTGATTTTGTAAAGCTACTTTGGCCAAAGTATAGTCAGTTGGATATTGTTGCTTAGACAAGTGATATGGCCCCTGAGCCTCTCTTCTTTAATATAATAATATAATAAGGTTCTTTTTTCCAGAAAAGCTTATCTCAATTTTTTCATCTATTGTACGTTAACTCAAATTTATTTAGAGAAAGTATATCAATGTCATACCAGTCATGTAAATACATATGTTTGGGTAGGAAAGATAAAGAGTTGTGCTGAGGGACCGTCTTCCTGTTTTCTCCTGGTTCTCGATGAGGGTAGATCAATTCCTCTGTTATTTGAAAGAAATATAACAAAATGATTCTTTTTAGTATTAAAATCTAAGTCAAGATTTTTATTTTTATTTTTTAAAATATTTTTTTTCAAAGTGCGTTGATTTTGTCCCAAATTTAACGCACTTTGAAAAAAATTTCAAAATGCGTATTTTTTTTCAAAGTGCGTTGCCACATAGGTCACAGTGACCCTCTTTTTGTTTGAAACAGGACCAAATTAAGGGGCTTACAATGTAACGACCACCTAAGTATAATGTAACACTGAAAAGGATCCAAAGATCGAAGTATAAAATACAATATAAAACGAAATAAGTTGCTAAACGAAGTAATGTTGCCCAAAAGCAAAAGAAATAAGATGATCAGTGATCAGCAAATTAATCAAGTAACTACTCAGTAACAAGTAACAAATCTTAAAGTTGATTTATTTACTTGCCTGTACTCACCCCCCTCAATTGTCACTATCCTCATGCGGACTAAAAAAAATAGTTCTTGAGCAATATTAGTAAACCCATCTCATACCCTCTGACATTAGCCTCTATTGGTCATTAATGGACATTTAATATATATAAGAGACTGTATTTTTATCCCATTTTTAATTTTAGGTTTTTTTGTTGCTAATCAAATTTATCTCAAAGTTAATTTTTGCTTATCAATTGTATTTTCTGGCTGGCAACCAAATAGTACATGTATTATCCAATGTGTCTCCCGAAATCCGGAAAGGCACCTACAAAGTAGCTAAAAGCACACAGATGAAACAGTAGTTTTTTAACTCGGAAAGATTCGATTGATCAATATGGCTGTTTTAAATGACTTTTTGAGCTTAATTGGTCATTAATGATTTTTAAAATGCCTTCTTGTACATCTGAAATTATTTTAAAAATCACTTTATTGACAGGATCTCTGATTAACATATAGACTTTTTTCATGACTGATGTCTTTATGTTGGGTTGTATCAGGGAGACCAATTGGGGGCCGAATAACGGATTTTTTCTATAAAAATTTAACATTTTAACCAGGTACAGTACCAAGAAGAGAACATACATGTACGTGCGGATATTACTGTTTATGGAAGCATCTAGTATCATTCTGTAGCAATAGGCAGTTTTTAGGAATAATTAAGAATTAATAAATAAATTTATAAATAGAAGTTCTTTTGAATTACAATTTTAGGTAGACGTTTAAAAAAGTCATTACAACTGATACTTATCAAATATTCTCTCTGAACGGAAGATATTAATCTGAGATATTGAATTATTTATGTGTGGAACATTAAGAAATGAACGGACAATTAATTCCTGAATATTAATTGCTGTATCAGTTGATGAATGGGGAGGATCCTCAATTTTATGTTTCATTTTTTTTTCTCTCGAACTATCGATATAATTTATTTTACTAATTAGTAAAATAAATAAATAATGACAGTTAAAGGATGAGAGCATAAAATGCATACCATAGAGACTTGCATGTCCGTTTTCATACTTTTTTATTGGCTCACATGAACTTTATTAAAATGATAATTTGGATGATTTCAATTACTCTACCATCAGCTTAAATGTACCTTTATACATGTATAGCATATTCTATCGCCTGCATAGGAGCATGATCTGAATACAATCAATTAACCGGCTAACAAATAAGAAGCAAATTGGTTACCTCGATGTACAAAATTTATACATATGTTTTAAATTACAATTTATTGGAACATTAATTATCAAAATTGCGTCATTTAAACCAGTTTTTCAGTAATTTTGATACAGTAATGCTGTTTAACAAAAATGGATTTTTTAATACCAACAGATCCTTCTGTTTATCTTAATGACTGAAAAATGGCTAATTACAAATTACAACCTATTTATTGTATTGATAAAATGTACATGTACATATTTGTAGTTCATTACAAAGTTGTAAATGGACCTAAAGCAATCAGATTTAAGTATTTAACATAAGAGTAATACAATATAAAAATAATAAACGAACAATTTACACTGTAATGACTTTTGCGTATATATTATGTTACTATTTAGGGTTTATATACTTTATACAACATAATTATGTATTGAATTGCTGAAATGGTAAGATACATGTATAATTTTGTGCACGAATACTGTCATATAAAATAACGTGAACAAACATAATTAAAAGCTTGTGTCATTCATATGTTATTTGTCAAGTGTTAGCCTTAAATACCTCATATGAGACTAAGAATATTAATTTTGCCGTCACAAGGGTATAAACATGTACAGGCATCGCTTTGCTGTGCTCTTGTTTTGACCATGCTTTCATTTGAACATGTAATTCATGATCAATCACTGTGTCCCTTTTTTTTGAAAAAAAAATTAAATGACTTGCTGACGAATAGATTAAGAAATGTTAAGAAAAATTTGTTTGTCTCATTAAAATACATCTTCACAGCTAGACATCAAGCTATCCATTCCTGTGACTGAGTCTTGAAGTAAGGAGCCAAAGTCTTGTAAGGTACCCAAGTCTTGTAAAGATGGAGCAGACGAAATTGCCCTGTTTAACATGCGCAATGGACGAAGATTTCCTTTCCAAAATAGTACACGATATTAAAAAGATAATTCAAAAAATTAAAGAAATGTACTTTCATATAACATTATAAGTGTCTTAAGATACATGTACCTGTATTTTGTTGGAATGGCTGGTGGGGGTGCAATCCTTGGGAAAGAAGTTGTAATTGTGCTAAAGAGAAAATATAAATAGAGTATATCTATTTAAACATTACACCCTCCCCCCCCCCCCCACACCCTCTCTCTCTCTCTCTCACACACACACACACACACACCCTTACGTGTATGGACTCCGATCTGGGGACTCTGTCATAAAAACTTAAAATGGGGACTAAGCGATTTCATGACATACTTGGTATTGTTTAACTCATTTTACTTCGTAGGTATCCTGGTTTAAGTAGATGGAGTGAGTCTTTGAGATTGAATGATATTTCCATTAATTTAGAAAATGGGGACCCGGAAGTGCCAATCTGAGGACTCTGTGTAAAATTAGGGGACCCATCTTCTCATAAGCAAACAGAATTGGGGACCTAAACTCAGTCCCTAATACACAAACAGAGAAAAATGGGGACCCTAATTTATAAATCAAAATTTGGGTTGGGTAGACTTATGAAACGCACAGTGTTTATTTATTTGGTGTCTGTTTCCGTTCCATATATGGCCATAGATATACATGTTTTTGTTATACACTGAATTTCTGTAATTTGGTTGACTTGTACATACAGGCCTTTTATAACTCCAAATTCGCATCTTGTGGCATAGCTTGGGGTCGATCAATGTGGAAGCATAAAATGGCGGGGGGGGGGGGGGGGAGCATAAGGCCCCGATGGGACCAAGCCGAAGTCCAGGGGACCCTGGGTACGAAGCCCCTGAAAGCTGGTGCATTTTAGATAAGTGACGATAGACTTAAAAAGATTTATAACATTTTAAACCATAAAATGTTAAATGCTAATCAATACTTTTTTTTTTCTAAATACCTTTTGTAGTTATTATTAATGATATATATTGTCATAAGTGCGTTTTCAGCGAGAAAAAAAATCTTGGTTCTCCCTGATGTCCTTATTATTATACTGCATGTTATAGGCCTATATGCATTTTACATGTATTCAATATTATACAGTTTACACTAAGTATGTATTATCCTTTATATACATGTAATGCTTTTGAAATTTCAATCATACATGCATGTTTTCATGAACTCGAGTCTTATAAATTATATATAGAAATGATATTCATAAATTAATATAAATTGAAAAATTAAAACATTAAACAAATAATGCAAAATTGCAATTTCAAACTGAAGGTCGTGGTCACAAAGTAGTAAATATACCTTAAACTTATTAATTTATATATATAAGGATGAGGGCGCATTTGATTGATATTTGGCAGGAATCTGGGCGTATTTGAAAGTCAAAATTTCAGCATTCTTTTTATGTACTAGTATTGAGTTCTTCTGAAAAAGGAAAAGGAAATATTTTCCAAATATTGTTCTGATTTGCTGAAGAAAAACTTGAAAATTGGCTAAATGAGTCATGTGGTTCAAAATGTTACCTTTTAAACTGATTTATGAAAGTTCTAAAATACATGTAGATAAATATGTATAAGTTCAGTAGCACTGAGAGCGAAACCAATTTGAAACTTTGATATACATGCACATGTAGATGAAAATACATTTGACTATACCCTATTATCTTACTGGTGTTATTATGTATTTGCAGTGTTACTATGTTATCGTAATTATTAAGATAAGCGAACATAAATGATAAACTGAAGAGGTATTTTAATGAAAATGCAACTTTTTCCTTATCGTCTCGAGCAACGGTCCGGAGTCGTAGAATTACTGGCCTGGAAGGATTTTCTACGGTCGAAAAATGACCCTTCTTGTCGTAGAATATTGACCTGGGTCATTTTTCTACGTAGAAAAATGACACCCTGGTCAATACTCTACGGGGGTCACTTTTCGTTGTTACACCGGAGTCCGCATTTTGCTCTCTTCTGAAAATGGGAGAGGATTGTAAATTTTGGCTGTGCATTGTTTGCGCCAATGCTTTTTCCTATGTGTGTAACTCTGTAAAGCCTGTCCAGGTGTGGTCAGCCGACCAAATTATGGATATTTTGATTAATTATTTAAATGTTTCATAAACACGATTCCTGTGCATCACATGTCAAATACGCCCATATATAGCACTGTGACGACGAATATTGACCTCTGAGGAAAGATAACTGGGTGTCAATTTCACCAATCGATATTTCTTGCCTTCTCATAAATGTTTCAAAAGAGCTATATGTCCGTGTGATATAATGAGATCACATACTATGGGCTGTGAATCCGTAGTTTTGGTATAAAAAGATATGTTGTTGAACTAAAAAGAGAGAATGTTGACAGTGAAATGTCCAAAGTAACGAGGAATGTGGTTTTCGAATTTATTAACAAGTCCCAGCGATGGCAATGATTAACATGAAACAACAAGTAACCAGTCGGATGCGGCCATTGTCTACAAATTGTTCAGTAGAAATGGTAAGAGCGTAAAGGGGAACGAGGGACAGTAAAATGCTACATGGCTACTACATATTTAAGAAGAACTGAACAGATTTAAAAATGGCATATGGTAATACTGAGTAAAAGTGTTACAGGTAAAGTTATAAAATGTTTTGATGGCATGGACATAAAAAACACAGAAAAATAATGATACTTTTTGGGGGAAAAGTTCTTTAAAAAAGCACTCTCTTTGGACATTACCACTCTGCTCCTTTGTTGTCCGACCAGTGCCACTCAGGAATTAAATGAGGAATAAGTGATTTAACATGAGAAGATTTTCAATACGGAATAATTTCTGAATATTGAATTTCAAATTAAAACAAAAAATAAATAAATAGATAAATAAACACGGCATTTAAACCTCTGAACGAATTAAAAGTGAATCAGTCAATTTCTTGCGGTGATATATCTGTCAAATCTCTCTTAAACACATTCCTTGTTGTACCGGTATGCCCCCCCTCCCCCCTCCCAACCCCCAACCCCCCCCCCCCCCCAAAAAAAAAACAAACAAAGGGGAGGTGGGTTAGATGGGGCATATATGTAGTTTTTTTTTTTAAATTATAAATTTTACAACTTCACTACCAAAACAGGTAAAAAAAAATAGATCAAAAATAAGTTTTGGATATTTTTCTATGTCATATTAAAGCAAATACTCATCTTGATCAACAATATTAATTACAAACTGATATGAATGAAATTTAAAAAAAAATTCTGAGCTCACTAAAACAATGTTCTGAGTCCAAAAAAGTTATATTGATAAATCCAGACGGCAAAAGTGTATTCAAATCCTTCCTGTTAAGGAGCGTTTGACACGGATTATCTTATCTTTATCTATCGGTGTTTGTAAAAACGAGGGCGCTTTTGATTGGCATTCGGCAGGAACATGGGCGCACTTGAAAATTGAAAATTTCCTTGACCTGTCACATGAAATTTTAGCATTGTTTTGATGTATCAAGTTCCTGTAAAATAGGAAAAGGAAATATTTACCCGATAAACTAACTTGAAAATTGACTAGAAGAGTCATTTGGTACAAAATGTTACAGTTTTAAACACGGTTTTCTAAAAATTTTCTATCTCTGGGTCATCGATCTCTCCATGACTTTGAAAAGATATTTGTGTGCATTTTAATTCAATGTAACTAATCCTTCAAAGTCGTAGAAAGATTGTAACTAATTAGTAATGCAGTCGCCTTAATTAGTACTTAAATCGTTCAAACGTCGTATTTTGTGGAATAGACATCGTAGACATGGCGTTCTTGCAGGCCAAAAAAAAAAAAAAATAAAAAATAAAAAAAATCGTGAGTTAAAGTAGAATTAATCGTTAAAGTATGGCCTATATGTAAAGGCAAAGACTCGCATCAAGTGAATTTTCTGAATTTCTGATATATATAGCTCTATATATATCAGTATATCTAGTGTGCATATACCAACATATAGCGAGGAAGTTTGGTACGAGTGATTTGTATTTCTTAGGAATAAACCCGCTAAAAACTTTGACAATTTCAATCGCCTAGAAAATGTACGTCAGATCATCCTTGTAGGTCAGAAGTTGCATCCGAAGAATGTCTGGTGGTGTGCAACCCGTTTCTTCTCATAGCTAGGATACATTCCAATAATTTTTCTATCATGGCCAATTACAACACCAGTAACTGTCATGTGATCAATGTTTATAAAGTCACCCCATTGCAAAATCAATATTCCAATCTATGTATTACTGTATAGTATATAATTATTTCATAATGGGCCAAAGCTTTTTTTAAGTCCACAAATAAAATTGTAAATGTATTGTACAAAATGCTTAAACTGTATAGTGATGAAAAAATTATTAAACCCGTGGTTAGAATTGCATATTTTACAGAAAATCTGTAAATGTGTGTGCTGTCAGACACGTAGTATCGTTTCTGAAAGTTGAGCCTGAAAGGGGTGGGGGTGGGATGACAACCTACCTGAAAAAAATAATGTGACAAGAAAAAAAAACATAAATTGTCCACACTCTAAAATCCTATGTCGTTGGAAAGGGGGGTCACAGTCAAACGTTATCAATACATTACCCATGATTTAAATATACTGGAACAAAAGTGGCGTAACAATCTTTTCTAGGAACATTTTCAACAGTAAAAAGTTAAGTTTGGAAAAAATTGAGGGGCCAACCGTTGTTCAGTGATAACTCCTGAAAAACAAGTTTATAGACTCTTTAAGCAAAGCATGGGATCTGAAAATTACATTGGTAACTTTTCTTTCATTTAGAAAAATACTTTTAAAATTTCATAAATAAAATCGTCGTCTACCAGTAGAAGCCAGACGATAGCATGATATACCACATAGGGAAAAAAAACCCTGTACAGCCTGTAATATTGCCCAAGTTGCTGATGAGTATCACTATATTCTTGAATGTAAAGCTTTTAATATAAGAAACCAGAAGTCTCTGATGAGACTGTAGCTCTACTGGTCTGTTTGTATAACAAAAGAAAAGTAGCACTTGGATTTGAAACATTGCAACATGCAACAATAAATAGAATTATGTATCTTAATGTAGTCTACTTTTGTGACAAGTTATATTGAAATCAAATGAAAACTAGGATTAGTAGCGTTTTGAAAGTATTTCACGGAAATTCCTATTTTTAGTACCGGTAA